GGAACGGTATCTTATCATTTGGGTCCCTACGTGCTGAGTTGTATCTACATCACAAAATGTTAGTCGAACTGGGTTATTTTTGCTCTCAAATCAGAGTCTCAATACAAGCAAAATGTACGTCATATATCATTTTCCAAAAAGATTGAGTACGAGTCAAAGACATGATGGAAGTTATGAGTGTCGTGACACGGGCTCTCTGAAGCTGTAAACTTCACGGTATTTGCACAGAACACTTTCTCTAGGCATTTTTGTCGTGTCGTTATGACAGAAAATTAAGACACCGCCATTGTCACTAGTTCACTGAGCACACTAAGCTGCTGGGAAGGCGTTGTCCGTCGACTACCTACCCGCCTATGCGCGTAGAGTAAAGCTGGTGACAATAGAAGTCGAAGACGTGGCTCAACGAGATTGTTCTGGAACAACGTTTGACGCTGCACGCATGACGAAGCACGTGTATGGTCACAGTATTGATATCAAAATTGCAAAGTTGTTTAATAACATCGGAGTGGATATATCGATGTGGTTTGCACGTCCGATGGCAGTCGATAATTCAGACACAGCAGATAAAATGAGGTGCGGGAGTTTCTTTTCGACAATTTCGATTGAAGGTACTAAGGCGCTGGTTAACACGATAATCTGGATGGGACCGAGCAAAGCATGTATACGGATGATTGTGGAATACAGCAGGCAGAAGGTGATAAGTAAGCTCCTCAATAATACTTGAGCAGTCTGAGGTTGGTCCTCGAGGCTCGTATAGGTACTTCGGGCAAGTAATGCCTGGGATGAGTACGGGATCTCCATACTGCAGGATAATAATTAAGATGGAACAGCAGAAATATAGAGTTGGGATGGGAACTCAAGCATGAAAATTTTGACTCGTGTCAATGGAAGCAAGTGTTGCAAGGAGACGTTGAACAGGCTCGATGGGTTGGAGCTTCCCAGAGATTGAATCATATTCGACACTACCACTTGGAAAGCACCAGCCAACCCGCATAGGTCTGTGGGTGGGTGGGGCAGTATACAGGTTGGGGATCATAGACAAGTGACGATGTTAGCAGGAAGATGAACCTGGATTATACAGTAGGCCGATCACCGTGGTAAACGAAGTTGATCATCGTTATTATGGGCTTTGGCCCATATTTATTGTGGTAAAACGTGCGTATCGAGAAATGAGCCAAATCATCATACAAGCCTGAAGGAAGAAAGTCTGTTTTGGACTCCGACCGCGTTATGAAATTTGGCACGTCACACACGTCCCGCTGCGTCAAAATAGCCTGAATTCTGATTCATGTGGCTGACTCGGACAAGTTCTGACGACTTAAAGGTGTTACTTGACCAGCATCCTTACCCTCCACTCACAAATGGCCATGTTGAGGCTCCAAGAACGCTCAGCTCAACGGTGGTCAATATTTCACCTTATGCAAATACTAATTTACTGGGTCCTGACAATCCTTCCTGCTGGATCACTACAACCCGCTGGCTCGGTTCAACTTGGATTTGGCTTATCAGCAACTTGGCACGTCTCAGGCTTGCCTGCGTATTACCAAGGAGATGCATATCTTCTCGGTATCTTTTTCCGAGTATAGCTCACGAGAACAAGTATAAAACCAACGTGGTTGGGTTGAAATAGCCTCAGACGATTCGACGCCTCCTGTTGCAGTAAGTAGCCCTCTTGCGCTACACTATGCACATTTTATTGATTTGACATGTAATAGCTCTTCTAAGACTTTTTCATAGCAACGCCACACACATCGCACAGTCAGACTTTTGTCAGTATGTGGTTTGCTCACACGTTCGCATCATATGCTGATGCATAGTTATACCAGATACCATGAAGCTCGTTCAAATTGTTTACTTCACAATCATTGCCGCTTCCAGTGCCGCTTCCAGTGTCACTGGGGTGAACAGAGCTACAGCCCCTCAGAGTATAACCTGCGATGCCTCATGCGCCTCCTCTCCAAAATCTTTGGACTGCAAGCAATATGCAGGGACATCGCCTTACCTTGTGGGCCCCGGGTGCTGGTCGTGCTGTATCCTAAGTTGAGCCTCTCGGTTAGTTTTACTCTCCATACAAGCAACATGTGTGTCGTGTACCGTTCTCCAAAAACATTGAGTACTCAACATCGATAAGGTCCCTCTGTGAAGCGCAAACAGAGATGCACCGTTAGCTCTCTTTTGACCTGCATCCCCAACAACCTCCGAAGACTTGAGTGCGTCGCTTGATCACTGTCCCTCTGCTCTGCTCAGAGATGGCCGATGGTCGTGCGTTGATCCGAAGCCATGATTCGCGTAGTGGGGCGTAGCTGGCGTCGGTGTTGCTCATTATAATCGCACTTTTACAGGTAACTTGAAGTGTAGGTCACAATCGTTTACTTCGTATATATTTCTATTTATCTGAGGTATACTAAGGCATGGTCGTTTTCCAGGGCACCCTTCTCACTAATGGTGATACTGGTCCATCATTAGTAGGCCGATCACCATGGTGGACGAAGTTGGCCATCATCATCCATGGGCTATGGCCCGTATTTCTTGTGGTGGGATGTGCGCATCAAAAAATGAGCCGAGTTCCCAGTGTTGTAACTCCCAGGTTGGGTTTTGTCTGCAGCTGCAGGAAACGTGCCATATTCTCTGCGGACAATTTTTCACAGCCTGGGAAACTACTGAGCCTTGCAAGCCAATCATCTGCATCATCTACAACCCGTTCGGTCGGCATACTCATGTCTAAACACTCACATTCACGAACACTATCAAGTGGAAAGGCCTGGGAGTTGAGGATCGCGACAAGCTGAGCCGATAAAGTGGAACCATGAAATAAAAACAATGGTGGGCAAACTTGAACTTGCTTTGGAATTATAAAACTACGGAGTTCCGAAGGATCGAACAGCCTGGAGGTATTGGCAATTGGGGCGACAAGCCAGAAGGAGGACAGCACTAGGACGACTCAGATACGCGCACTCCGCGTTATGTGATTTGGCACGTATGTGCGTCAAATTCTCTGCTGACTCGCGTCAACCCGTCTGCCGACTTAAAAGTGTTGCTTCATCAGCATCCCAATAGCAGTGGCCAATATTTGTTCTTATGCAAATATTGTTACTATTTGTTCGTCATCCTTCTTGTTGTGCTGGCTCGGTTTAACTTGTAACTAACTTGGTGCATTTCAGGTAGCATGCGGAGATGGATCTCATAAATGGACCTCTGCATATCTTACCGGTATAAAACTTTCTCCGAGTATAGTTCCAGCGCTAACGAGAACAAGTATAAAATCAACGCGGTTGAATTGAAAAAGGCCTCAGAGACGAACGCCTCCTGTTGCAGTGAGTAGCCCTCCCGCACTACACTTTGCGCATTTCATTAAACCGACATGTAATGGCTCTTCTAAGACTTTTTCATAGCAACTTCCCGCACATTGCACAATCAGTCTTTTGTTGGTGTGTGGTTTCCTCACAAGGTCACATCAGCTGATGCATAATTATACCAGATATCAATCATAATCATGAAGCTCTTTCGAATCGTTTACATCACATTCCTTACTGCTTCCAGTGCCGCTGCCAGTGCCACTAGGGCGATGACAGCATCGCCTCCTCAAATATCCTGCGAAGGCCTATGCGTTTCCTCTAAACAATCTTTGGACTGCATATCAGGGACATCACCTTTCTTTACGCAGCATGGGTGCTGGCAGTGCTGTAGCGAAATTGGTTGAATCTTCTGTCATTTTTGCTCTCAGGATGTATTGATCTGCACAGCAGACAGCGCCGCTACAATTCACCTACTCCAGACTATAAATTTCCAGAGACCGATATGTACAATCCAGCCCTGACCGGCTGCTGAGTTCAGCATGAGAAATCGTTTGAGCACGGTAGGTCTATACCATCTGTGCACAATGTAGACCACTGTCGACAAATTGGCATTTTACTGATGCCAACCGTTAAGCGCGAGAGCGAACCCAAGGCAGCACAGATCTCTGAGTCAGATGACGAGCCTGGACCTTAAACCCATTACAAGCGCCGAGCCGCTGCGTTTCCATCAGGAACCTCATCAGTACATAGATCGGCGAGAAAGAACCATCGCTTTCGCTTCCAGACGCGTTCATTCGTACTTTGCTTTTGCTTTGCTATTCATCGCCCTGTCGTTCCGAATTACGCCGCACGCACGTACCAGCCACGTCATCTGTCCTCGTCCATGCCCGAAATGCTTGGATGGATTGCAGTCCACGTAAGTACATGCAGATGATAAAGTCAAGAGAATGTCCCACGAGGTTCTAGCCATAATGCCAGTAGGCTACTGCTGGATAGAAAGTCGCTGGCATCGATTGTATGGGTATATGTATCGCCGAGACTTGGCAGTGAAGCATAAGGAGACAGTGTGTCAAATAGGACAGCGCATGATGGGAAAATCATCATGATCGTGCTCTCTTTTGAAGGGTGCGGCAGCTGCGGCTACGTGTGAGTCGTAAAAGCTGCAACTCAGTGCTCATCGATGCATCATCCAAGTCAGGGAATCCATGTGTCCACTAAATCGCTGCGTATATTTCTCACGGTGGCATAACGAGCTCAAGCGGGAGAAGACCAAGGTGGCCTGTGATTGAGTTGCTTGAGAGAAGAAAAGAAGTCACCGTGTGACGGATGGACTGGTCCAGACCGATCACTGACTAAGTGCGAGCTACTAAGCCCCCTGCCACGTACGTTATCTGAAACAAAGAGAGAATCATATGTCTGTTAGAAATAATCACGAGCCTCTGTCTACATTACAGTATATAAGACTCTTACCTAGTATTGTAACAGTTGGCGCTCTTAAAATCCTATCTTGTATCTGGTTACTTGAACGTCTGAATTCCCTGAGTCTTGTGACGTCTCTAAAAGCTTATCGCTTCTTACCGCCGTCACATATTTTTTAACCTTCAACAAGCTTAACTTTTTACCTGCCTTTGATTCGGGAACTCTGGTTTGGCCAACCCGTTGTTTTGAATCTAGGCAACAATATTATTATCAACTACTACGACAATGTCTACTACTCGTTACCAAACCCGGTCTCGCGCACGTCAAGCGCCGAATGACCAATCGACACCGAACGCGAGGGCAGCTAGGCTGCCTCGCGCCAATAGTGAGTCTTCTCTTTCTACCGTCTCTGCACCTCCGGGGGAAGCAACGCCACGGGCGTCTTCCCCTGCGTATTCCGTCGACACGCCCATCCGCTTGTATAGCGATGTGGTGTTGACGCGTATTCCCTCGATGCCTGGCGCACTCGAGGCGACCCCGATCAGGGCGTTGAAACCTTCAGGTCCAAAGCCTAGGAAGCCGGCTTTGGCAAGGGCAGACTCTGTAGAAACAACACCTGTAAACTCAGAAATCAGTAGAGAAGAATATAAGAGACCTAGGGTCACCTTTGACCTGCACGACGAGTCAGAACTATCGTCCAGTGAGAAATCCGCTGAGTCTGGTGATGACCAGCACAGCGGATGGACGGATGTACAACGGAAGCGAGGGAGAAAGATCCCATCGCGTGAGGTATCGCAAGAGAGACGAGAATCCTCCGAGTTGAGCCAGGAACAAGAAAACCTGGTAAAGTTAGCAGAGAATGAGCTAACCGAAAACGATCGAAAGAAAATTGAGGCTAGGCAGCGCACCATGACCCTCAACAGAGAAAGTACCGAATCCAGAGGGGAGGGCTCCTCCTGGGACAAGGGTAAAGCTCCGGACCCTCGAAACTGGGGCGACGTTGAGCTAGACGACGGAGACTTGGACCTGGACGCCCAAAGAGCGGCACTAGCGTCCTTCCGTAAGGCCCGAGAACTTGACGAAGCTGAGCGACAGGAACAGCGTGAAGTTCTGCGCTCTCTCGACGAGTCTCGGGAAGACGATAGCTTGGTCTCGGGTTCCAGGGATAAAGGGGACTTTGTACCCCGCGCCCGAGCCGAATCAGCTGTGAGAGCTATTCGGGAAAAGGTTTCCAAGCAATATGAGGCCCGCATCCAAGAATTGGAAGCAAAACTTGCCTTAAACGAGGGTAGCGGTGGGAGAAAAGGTCGGAAGAGACCCTCCAACCCTGTAGATGGGATGGTGAACCGGGTGCTCGAGAGGGCGTCCAGTCCCCCACCAGCTAGATCCACCCCACAGGCGATGGAACCCATCCAGCAGGTGGCGCCCCGGAGTTATATTGGGCAGGCTCTCGGCAGACTGAAAACCTCAAATAAGGGTAAGAGTAAGAAAGCTAAAAGAAAGAAGAAACACACCTCACGTGACACCAGCGATAGCGAGGACTCTAGTGATCCGAGCTCGTCGTCGAGCTCGGCAGAGTCCTCCCCCAAATCCTCTGAGTCCAGCGAGTCGTCTTCGGACGATTCCAGCACTAAGTCCTCGCGACGGCGCACTAAGAAGAAACGTAGCCGTAAGAGTAAGAAAAACACTTTAAAACCAATCCCACCTGTGAACTATGACGGATCTCCAGATTCCCGTGCATTCCATCAATTCTTGACGGAAGGCACGGCGTATGTCAAAGACGGACAGGTGGAACGTGAAAGAAGGGTTTTTATACTAGCGCATTACCTAAAGGGTCGCGCGCGTGAGTTCTATACTAGGGAGGTATCTGGGGACCCTTACCGTTGGAGGCTGAGGAGGTTCTTCACCGAGTTATTCAATCATTGCTTTCCCATTGACTTCCGGATGAAGCAGAGGGAGAAGTTAAACCGATGCTACCAAAACGGTAAGACCGTTAGAGAGTACATCTACGAATTGAGTGAGCTTTGGAACATGATTGGGGACGTTGCTGAGAGACAGAGGGTGACGCGCCTTTGGACGGGATGAAACCCCAGCATACAGACCGAACTTTGGAAGAAAGAACTTAACCCGGAATCTTCGTCATTCCGGGAAGTGCAAAGTGCGGCCGAGGTCATTGAAATAGCCCACTCCGTGCCGGTCAGGTCCCGGGAGCATCGCACCAAAGAAGGGAGAGATGGCGCCAACCCTGGCACTAAGCCAGGTGACGGTGGAGGAAGGACCCAGTCCAAAACGGACGACCACAAAGGAAGGCGTGGAGACTGTCGTCGGAATGGCCGAAGCCAAGGGGGAGGTGATCGAACCCAAGGTGACGGACACTCTAGGAACGATGGCAATCAGAAAAGAGAAGGGGGGAGGTCAAAGAACTCACCCACAGAACGGAAACCGGAGAGACTAAGTCCGGCTGAGAAGGAACGTCACGCAGCAGAAGGACTGTGCTATGTGTGTCACCAGGCAGGACACATCTCACGAAACTGTCCAAAGAAAACGACAGTTAAGTCTGGAAACAGTGGGAGCTCACCTCCGGCGATCCAACATTATGGCATGGACGTTCTCGGCGATGACGCGCAAGAACAGACACCGGATGACCTGTTGCAATCTAATGATCTTTCAGGATTAGCATGTGCTTCAATGACGTTAGGCTATGAGGAAAACTCACCTCCAGTGATGCCTAGACCAACGCCTACTGCGATGGGAGACCCTCTAGCGGAACGAGCAATGGAATTACTCCACCGGGAGTCAGGACACTACCCCGGCGACGATGCTGACAAGACCCCGGATCCAGAGCGGTTCCTGGTGTATCGAGTCTCCGAATCGGAACATGCTATCATGGATCGTGAGGATAGAAGAGACCCAGAGGTAACCATACTCACCTCGTCGCTGCTGAACCCCCGGTTCTGCTTAGAAGGATGGTACTCCCAACGTGTAGGCAGGCTCCGCGGATATCTCCCAAGGAAGATCCGAGAAATGAGATCTAGACCACGGGGACCCGTCATGGGAGTACCGTTGGGACAACGAGTGACAGAGCTCTTGCAAAAGAACGGACCTTATGAAAAGGACTTAGTGCAATATTCTCATCCGAATCGATTTGAGTGCTTACGTTTACACGATGGATCTTACGAAGTGCGGGACTACGCGAAGGCGTATCGCGTATCGGTCCCGTTCCACCTTTTACTTCGAGAAATGTTCGATGTGGTCCGATGGTTCAAGTCCACGCTGACTCGTGCCTATGGAAGATTGTGCGACGCGATCGCTGCTAATGCGCCTGAGTATGATATACTCCGCCTTCTGGAAAGGGGAAATCTGACACCAGCAGAGTGTCAGCTAGATGATGTTGCGAGGAGAATCTATACCCCACCTCCGGACGCGAAAGTCGTGTGTAAGGACGCGCACCTGTTCGTACTTGAGCTCAATGGACAGCAGATTCCGGCAGGGACCTACCCTGCGCTGCATAGAACGGCTGCGGTTGCTAAAGACTTTAAGCGGGTGATCCCGAAACCCTTGGTGGTGACGGTCCACATCAATGGAAACCCAGCAAGGGCCTTAATCGACTCTGGGTCATTGTCAGATTTCATGTCCGTTACTTTAGCAGACCAGTTGAACATACCTCGCATTGAGCTGGCTAAGCCCATAGTCGTCCAGCTCGCCGTGCAGGGCTCTCGCTCCAAGGTGAATCATGGGGCCACGGCCCAGCTTAAGTACCAAACTGTCGACTCGAAACGCTATTTCGACATAATAAATCTGCAAAACTACGATTTAGTATTGGGAACCCCGTTTCTGTTCCAGCACAAGGTGATGATTGGACTGAACCCACCTAGAGTTGTGATCGGGAGCGTCGATCAGCAGCCCATGAGGGGCGAGCAGGTCACGACGTTGGAGTCTCGCATGTCGGAAGTGTACGAGGAAAGCCTGGATAAGGTTCGAGCGAAGTTGAACGAATTAGCCAGGCCATTGTGCGCTAAAGCGAGCGAGACGGGCTTACCTCCGTTACGCGCGATAAATCACACCATCCCGTTGATTGACGAAGGGAAGATCTATCCCTGGCGGCCGTCACGCTGTCCAGAACCGTTAAGGCCCCAATGGGCAGACAAACGGCAATCTTACCTTGCATCCGGCCGCTGGCAGGTGACCAGTGCCGGGAATACGGTACCCATGCTCTTCATTAGGAAGCCCGGGTCAGACAGACTGCGCACTGTAGTGGACCTGCGTGAGCGGAACAAGAACACGAGAAAATTAACCTCACCTTTGCCAGATATGGAGGGAATCTTGCGGAGGGTCGCCGGGAAGAAGTTTAAGTCCGTCTTGGACGGACAAGACGCCTATGAACAAATCCGGGTGGTGCCAGAGCACGTGCATCGCACGGCTATGACCACCCCGGACGGAAACATGGTTAGTCACGTTCTGCAGCAAGGCGATTGTAACGCCCCCGCGACTTACCAAGCGCTGATGAACCATCTGTTTGGCGAGTACCTGGGGAGGTGGATGGATGTATATCTTGATGACATAATAATATACTCGGATGACCTGCATGAGCACATTGAGCATGTTAAGACCGTTCTGAAGATACTAGACCGGGAGAAACTTTACCTGAGTCAAAAGAAGATCCAGTTCTTATGCAACGATGTGAAGATCCTGGGCAGGATAGTCGGAAGGGATGGCATACGCATGGATCCGGAGAAGGTCGACAACGTCCTGAACTGGAAGACGCCGACGAACCGCGACCTTTGTCGTGGGTTCATCGGCTCCGTAGGGTACTTGTCGGATGATATCTATCGAGTCCGAATCCCATTAGGCGTATTGTCTGAAGTGACTGGGGATGCCGTACCGTTTAGATGGGACTATGCCCAGCAACGCGCCTTTGAAACGATTAAACAGTATGTGGCGACTTGCGCACCACACTGTCGCGTGCCCTTGGTGTATGGTCCGGATGCGCCGGCCATCTACATGATGACGGATGCCTGTTTGGGAGGAATAGGAGGTGTGGTTGCCCAGGGCGCAGACTGGTGTACGGCTAAAGTGGCCGCCTTTTATTCGGCCAAGTTGAACCCGGCCCAAAGAAATTATCCTGTGCATGAACAGGAAATGTTAGCGGGTGTAGAGACCATGCTGCGACACCGGGACATCTTACAAGGAGCTAAGTTTGTATGGCTCACGGACCACAAGGGACTGGTTCATCTACTGAACCAGCGAAACCTGTCTGGAAGGCAGGCGAGGTGGATTGAGAAGCTGGGAGAATTCGATTTCGAAGTGAGGTATCTGCCGGGTGTCGAGAACCTACTGCCGGACGCCCTGTCCAGGATGTACGTGTTTGACGCGCCTGGAACGGTACGAACTCCTAGCGAGTATGTTCAGCACGACATGGGCAACTCCTTTGCCAAAACTGCTCACCTGGCGTCTATGCCCATGATAGTGGGCGATGAAGCGTTAGCAACCAAACCCCGGCGTGGGGGGAGGACGGAGGCGTTAGCGACCAGTCCTCGGTTGCCCGCGCTGGAAGCGTTAGCAACCGACCCTCGGCGTAGTGCGAGGGTGGCTCAGCGGGCTGTGGACGTACCGGTCCCGGCCGATCCTCATGCACTAGGGTCGGATAGCATGAGGAGGATGGCTGTTCATAAGGGGGTCCTGGCAGCATCGGACGTTGGGGTGGTGACACCTACCCAAGCCAGGATCAGGCGTGCACAGGCGGTGGTGGCGCCTGCGGAAACTGGGCGCCCAGAGACTGCGGCTGAGTTTGCACGACGCATGAGAAACCATTTCGTCCTCCTGGGCCCAGGAGAACGAAAGAAGGGGGGGAAGAGCGTGGACGCTTATCAACCCGAACCTGAACACTTTGAACACGTTAGCAACCCTAGCGCAATCCCAGACAATGGACTCACGGAAGGGCCCTTAGTAGGGATGCAGCTACCAGTGTACCCAGAAGAAGAGCTAATGGGTGACATAAGACATCAATATCATAGGGACCCATTCTATAGGAAGGTCCTAGACTCACCAAAGGAGTTCCGAAACTTTGTGGTAGAAGACGGTATCATTAGAATCAAGCTAAAAGACCGAACGGTTACGTGTGTGCCGGACCTCAAAGTAGAGGAACGACGACTACAAGAGATGGTCATCAGCCAGGCACACTCTTTACTAGCCCACTTAGGAGCTAGAAAGACACTTACCTACCTTCGCGACCACGTATGGTGGAAGACGATGGTGCAGGATGTCCAGGCCTATTGCGAGTCTTGCACTACCTGTCAACGGAGTAAGCCGTCCAACCAACAGCCATATGGGCTATTGAACTCACTAACGGTGCCCTCCCATCCTTGGGAGGCAATAGGAATAGATTTTGTGGGGCCGCTGCCCATATCTAAGAACAGAGACGCTGAGTATGATTCAGTGACAGTCGTAATCGACTTACTCACTGGAATGGTTCACCTCGTGCCTAGCCGAATCACTTACACGGCGCGAGAGGTCGCCGAACTCGTATTCTCGGAGGTGTACAAGTTACACGGACTCCCTAAAGCCATCATCAGTGACCGGGATGTCCTATTTACGAGCGGATTCTGGACTCACTTTCAGAAATTGATCGGCGTGAAACAAAAGATGTCGAGCGCCTACCACCCCGAAACCGATGGGGCAACTGAACGAGCGAACCGGACCGTGACACAGATGCTGAGGTCGTGCATATCCCCAGGTCAAAGGGACTGGGTCTCGAGGCTGCCGGCCATAGAGTTTGCGATCAACATAGCAAGTTCAGAAAGCACGGGATACTCACCGTTCTTCACCAACTATGGGAGGATACCTAGACCAATGATTTGGAACCACCCTGAGCCGTCTGAGTATCCGGGAGTTAGAGCATACGCAGTGAAATTGAAACATACCATTATGTCTGCGCATGACTCCATGATAGCGGCCAGAGTGAAGCAAACAAAGGACGCGAACCGGCGCAGACGCCCGTGCCCGTTGCAGAAAGAAGACTTGGTGTATCTGTCGACCAAGAACATCAGCTTCCCGAAAGGCTTGGCTAGAAAGTTCCTACCTAAATTCGTGGGACCTTATCGAATTCTGGAAGACTTTGGTAACAATTCGTTTAGGCTGGAATTACCTAACCGAATGAAGCAGCGTGGGATTCACGACGTGTTTCACTTGTCGTACCTCCGCATCCACCTACCGAACGACGACAGACTCTTTCCTGGGCGATTGGATAACCAGGTCGCCGAGTTCGAAGAAGAAGAACGGGAATGGGCGGTAGAAAGGATCCTGTCCCACAAAGGGACGCGGTCAGACGCTGTGTTTGAGGTGAAGTGGAAGTCTGGGGACGTGACGTGGATGCCCCACGACCGAGTCGATCATCTTGCTGCGTTGCAGGAGTATTTCGACGTCCTGGACATCGGAGATGTCTCAGAGCTGACAGAAGGTAACGGGTTGCCACCCTCCGATGACCCGCAGGTGTTTCTAGGCTGTCTTGGCACTGAGCTGGACTATATAGCCTCCACCCCTCCGTCAGATTCACCCATCCCTCCTTCATTTTCTACCACTTCGACATCACGACAACTATCTAACATGTCCACCCCCAACTCCGTTCCGTTATTTCGTGCCTTGGGCAATGGCCGTTTCGCCATGCCCGACCGGTACCGACCTGGTGTCACCCTCCTCCTCACCCTAGATCAAATCAGACTCTACCTTCAGCACGATGCTGACCTTCGAGGAGGCATTGAACCTACCACTATTCCTTCTCCCGTCGGCTACGATGAATTCGCCGTCGCGCTCAATAGCAACGCGGAGAACGGCATCCAAGTTGCCCTTGTGTTGGAGGACAATGCCGGGGTACGCATCAAGGGCCGCCCACCCACGTTGGCCGAGCTGGTTGGCATCGAGGCCACCCAGCGTGCTGCCTCCAACCCTCGCGACCCCAGAGAAGAGGCCGGAGGCAAGTGGTTGGATCCCCGTCGCATAGAGTTAATTGACGATGCGTTGTGGGACAACCTCGATCGTAACCGTAAGCAGAGGAAGTGGAGAGAGAGAGGTGTGGCTGAAAGACAGGCCAAACGTCAGCGCCGTGAGGATGAGGAAGCGCTCAGGCCATTCGCACCTTCGAGGGCCGGCCCAAACATCATCAACGCCGTAGCCGGACCCTCCAACACCACTCGCAGCCGTGCACCTTCCCCATTCCTTACCACCAATAATCCTCCTCCTCCTCAGTCGTCTGCGCCGGAGCAACCTGCGCCTCCAAACGATGACGACGCCGAGATGACGGACGGCGAGGCCACAGAGGCCGCCAAGGAAGCAGCGCGCGAGAAGGTCAAGGGGCGCATTCCCAAGAAGTAGAGATCGCAGGACGACCTCTGAAGGGGGGTATGTGACGGATGGACTGGTCCAGACCGATCACTGACTAAGTGCGAGCTACTAAGCCCCCTGCCATGTACGTTATCTGAAACAAAGAGAGAATCATATGTCTGTTAGAAATAATCACGAGCCTCTGTCTACATTACAGTATATAAGACTCTTACCTAGTATTGTAACAGTTGGCGCTCTTAAAATCCTATCTTGTATCTGGTTACTTGAACGTCTGAATTCCCTGAGTCTTGTGACGTCTCTAAAAGCTTATCGCTTCTTACCGCCGTCACACACCGGCAACGCCCGAAAAGTGGCTAACGTAGCAATTGGTTCTCTTCTCTCGCTGGTTCCATGATTGTCAAGGTCGGTGCTTTCGCTACTATGCATGTTCATGTTGGATTGTCATATTTCTGAATATCCTCGCACAGTCTGCTGCATGCGATCCAGCATACCGATGTCTTTCAAGTTAGATTGTCTCTTCGATTGGCATTTTACCGATTGTTGTTTATCTTGTCCAGGTAATTTGGATTGTTCCTAGAGGTAACATCAGTGAATACTTGGGCTTGCGTGCTCACCCCGCTCTTGGACGATGATCGATGATCTTCAAATATTGGCTTTCATTCTGGAATCTGTGCTTTGGCGTCGCCTTGGGTTACTCGCAACACAATTGTGATGGCCGTTCAAATTAGTCGGATCCTTTCAGCGCCGCTGCGCATGTATGTTCTCCCTCCCTCCCCGTGTCAAAAATCTGCATCATTTTCGTGCACCCTGACACAGTCCGGAGACAGACAGCTCTTGTGTGGGTTGTACTGTCGCCCTGCTCCGAGTATTTTCTGGCAGTCCTGGTAGTGGGGCCTTTGAGCACATGGGTGTACCGTCAATCCCCATTATAATCATGTTTCGTGACACTGATCTCCACCAGAGAATTACTAACTTTGTGTTAATATATCACGCGCGTTTTCGCCGTCGCCCGCCATGGTGCACTCTTCCCGAGTTCCTTGTTTATAGTCATGGGTGAACACGGAACAGATCTTGGACTTTAACTTGAGACTTGGAATGGCCCCTTCCAGAGTGTGAGTATAGACCCAATTCCTAGATTACAGAATTTTCGGAGCGTAGACTTCTATTGACCTCCGAGTCACCTCGCTCTCTCATGACGCATCTTTCTAGATCCTACTTGCACGTTTCTTGGAACACGGGCCTCTACTAGGCATCCACAAGACCTTCGCGCTGAATTTCAAATTCTGTATGCTATCCACCGATAGGTGTTTCAAAAGAGCATACGCATCTCTTAACGCCTTTACACTCCCCTAGCTCTTGATCGATTGTCATCCTATATTAGCAGTTCGGGCTCTGGCCCATATTTCTTGTGGTAGGACTTGCGTATCGAGAAATGAGTTGAGTCATCATACGCACAAGCCTGAAGGAAAAGAAAAACACCGCTCTGGGACACGCAGAGGTAAGTCACGTGAGTTCTGCGCACCCACAACCAAACAAGTCCCCAGAAAAACGCCGGGCCTCCAAGCAACCGCTAATGACGATCGAGATCCGACGACGACGAACGAAGGGCAGAGAAGTACGTGTTCGGTGTCATTCGAATGTGTGCGCTGAAACACGTATCAACAGCAACGTACTTGGATACGCCGCTGCTTTGGACTCCGACCGCGTCCACATTATGCAATTTGGCACAACCCGATTCATGCATGTGGCTGACTCGTCAGAAATGGCCATGTTGAGGCTCTAAGAACACTCAGCGCTCAACAGTGGTCAATATTCCATCTTATGCAAATACTAATTTGCTGACAGTTTTTCCTGCTGGATCACTACAATCCGCTGGCTTGGTTCAACTTGGATTTGGCTATCAGCAACTTGGCACGTCTCAGGCTTGCCAGTGCATGCGTATTTCCAAGGAGATGGATTTACTTAACAGAGCTGCATATCTTCTCGGTATAATTTTTTTCCGAGTACAATTTCATTGCTCACGAGAACAAGTATAAAACCAACGTAGTTGGGTTGAAAAGGCCTCAGACTCTCAGAGACGAACGCCTCCTGTTGAAGTGAGTAACCCTCTTACGCCACACTATGCACATTTTGTTGATTTGACATGTAATAGCTCTTCTAAGAATTTCGTAGCAACGTCACACACATACACATTGCACAGTCAGACTTTGTCAGTATGTGGTTTGCTCACATGTTCGCATCATAGGCTGATGCATAATTATACCAGATACCATGAAGCTCGTTCAAATTGTTTACTTCACAATCCTTGCCGCTGCCAGTGTCGCTGGGGTAAACAGAGCCACGGCCCTTCAGAGTATAACCTGCAACGGCCAATGTGAAGCCTCTGAAACAGATTTGGACTGCCATCATGGGGAATCGCCTTACCTTGTGGACGACGGGTGCTGGGCGTGCTGTAAATAAATTAGTTGAACCTCTCGGTCATTTTTGCTCTCAATACAAGCAACATGTGTGCCGTGTGCCGTTCTCCAAAAATACTCAACATCGATAAGATCCTCATCCCTCTGTGAAGCACAAACAGAGATGCACCGTTAGCTCTCTTTTGACCTGCATCCCCAACAACCTCCGACGACTTGAGTGCGTCGCTTGACCACTATCCCTGCGCTCCGCTCAGAGATGGCTGATAGCCATGCATTGAGCCAAGGTCGTGATACGCAAGTCCGAAGGAAAAACAATACTGTCGGCGAAATTGACGCAGTCGTGACGAGCCAGTACTCGGTCAATATTTTCCGCGTCAATATTGGCACGTCCCATGTGTATCACGCTGTGCCAAAATATTAGGATTTACTTCTGACCCGTGTGGCTCTCACAGCCAAATTCAAATAAAGGTGTTGCTTGACCACATCTCTGCAGAAACGACGATATCAAGGCTCCAACTTGAAGAACGCTCAGTGGTGACCAATATTGGATCTTATGCCAATATTAAATACTCGTCAATTTACCCTTTCTGTGGTCGCTGCAACATACTGTAACCCGCTGCATCAGGAAAATATCGTTCTCCTTATTGGATGACTTGCCGTAGGCTAAATAATCCAGAATATCTTATTTCGGAGCCTGAAATACATTTGCAATAACGTCAATAATTTAATCTATGCAACAATAATCCCCCATACGCTCGAGTCTTTAGATTTAGTCCAGTCTGAGTCGATGGACAGTCTGCTGCAGCCTGCATGCGATACAGCATACCGATGTCTTTCGAGTTAGATTGTCTCCCCGATTGGCATTTTACCGATTGTTGTTTATGTCCAGGTAATTTGGACTGTTCCTAGAGGCAACACCAGTGAATACTTAGGCTTGCGTGTTCACCCCGCTCTTGGACGAGGTCGATGATCTTCAAGTATTGGCTTTCATTCTGGAATCTGTGCTTTGGCGTCGCCTTGGGTTACTCGCAACACAATTGTGATGGCCGTTCAAATTAGTCGGATCCTTTCAGTGCCGCTGCGCATGTATGTTCCCCCTCCCTTCCCGTTGTCAAAATTTTGGCATCATTTTCGTGCACCTTGACACTGTCCAGAGATAAACCTCTCTTGTGTGGGTTGTACTGTCGCCCTGCTCCGAGTCTCGAATGCTATTTTCTGGCAGGTCTGGTGGTGGGGTGGGGCCTTTGAGCACATGGGTGTACCGTTTAATTATGTTTCGTGACACTGATATCCACCAGAGAATTACGAACTTTGTGCTAATATATCACGCGCATTCTCGCCGTCGTCCGCCATGGTACACTCCTCGCGAGTTCCTTGTTCATATCATGGGTGAACACGAAACAGATCTTGGACTTTAACTTGAGACTGGAAATGGCCCCTTCCAGAGCGTGAGTATAGACCCAATTCCTAGATCACAGAATTTTCGGAGCGTAGCCTTCTATTGACCTCCGAGTCACCTCGCTCTCTCATGACACATCTTTCTAGATCCTACTTGCACGTTTCTTGGAACACGGGGCCTCTACTAGGCATCCACAAGACCTTTGCGCTGAATTTCAAGTATTCATCGACAGGTGTTTCAGGAGAGCATATACATCTCTCGACGTCCTTACACCCCCCTCGCTCTTGACCGATCGACTGTTATCCTGTATCAGCAGTTCGACGCCTCCCAGTCCACGTACACATCCCATCCACTGAAATGCGTTTTACATGATTCTGATTCTGACTATGTACGTCCCCCCCTTGTCAATTGGAATGGATTTTAACGATATATGCGCCGAATTTTCAGTACGAGTTAAACAGCGCTCCTCTCCCCTACCCTCGGGAGCCTCTGAAGTTGAAATATCAACAGATCTTTCAGCAGGGGTGACCATATCCACGCCCGATTTGGTGTAAAGCGGCCAATGGTCTAAATCCACAACTCAGCTCAACTCAACTCAAATGGGCATTACAACAAGCTTTATTAACATTTCGTCGTAAAGGAGTGTCTGGACAGAAGAACGAAATATGTGGGTAGGATAATATCATGGGCAAGTGGGGAAGAATGAAAACGAGAATGAAAGGAAATGTGATATAAGTGTAAGTGTGTAAAGTGATAAACCTATGAAACTGCGATAAAGGAATGAAACTGTGATAGACCTATAGAACTGCGTTGAGCCTATGTAAGAGTATGTATAACTTGTGATTTGAACCCATGCAAGCGCAATACCGTGCGATGTCAAAGCTACATGTACAACGCCATAGTAGGCTCCAGATATGGTGAACAACAACAAAATAAGATAATCTCCGGGTTCCGGCCGCTCCAGGCAAAAAACAAAGGAAAGAAAAGGAAAAAGAAGAAAGGTAGCGCATGCTTATACAAGCGCCATCAACTCAGACCCCATCTTAACGTTTCCGCTTCACGCTGATAACGCCTTCCCCATCCACCATCATGGCCACCCCTCCCATCCCGCTCTCAATACCCATCCCCTCTGCACTCCCGTTGCCGCTCCCGTTACCACTCCCACCCCTCACAAACACCCCCGCATCTAAATCACCCTCGTCTGAATCTACGTCTATCAGATCCATCAGCTCTTCGTCGAGATCTGCATCGTCGCGGGGTGGATGAGTTTGGGCGATTGGGTAGGGGTGTGATAGACATTGTGGATTTGATTGTGATTGTGTTTGGGATTGAGGATGGATGACATGTCCCGCAGTCCGTATCCTAGCGCGCGGACCCCTCGCATCGCCCTCTACCTCCGTCTCAGCTCCATCTCTCACCATGGGAGGCGCCAGTTTATCCTTCTCCCCACTACCTCTATCGAGCTCGTCATCGTCGTCTTCTTCAGGTGACGAAACAGCCTCGGCTTCGAGCTCAAGTTCAGGTTCGATCTCAACTTCGACGTCTTCATCGAGATCTGCGAATGTGCGACAGAGGGGACAGCTGAATGCGGAAGTGTGAGCGTCGAGGAGAGGACGAATGCATTTGTAGTGGAATGCGTGACTGCAGGGGGCTATGAATAGGGCTTGGCGGATTGTTACTGCGAAGAGGCCTGTGCGTTATATTAGCGTGTGAGATAGCGTGCGGTGGTATGGGGAGATAAGGAAGGGGTGAAAGAGAGAATAGACGCACAGATACAACAATCGGGGATGTTAGTCTTTGGCATTCGTTTTTTGCCATGGGCGATTGCGCCTTGTGGGTGGCTGTGGGGGTCTGCGGAGAGGGAGCGGAGTTGTGAGAGGGCGTTTGTGCTAGAACACAGGTCAACATCAACTGAGATACATGAATCGATGGGGGAAAACTCACTTGAAAGCATTAGGAGCAGCCTGCCACTCCCTCCCTACCTCGATCCTAATCTTTACAGACTTGTAAATATCCTCGGTTCCTCCCTGGTAATCGACTCCCAGCTGAACGATATCCCCATCTTTAAGCTGATGGGGTTTACTCTCCGAGCCCGCGGGACTGAGGCGTAGATGATTAAGGAAGGTGCCTGAAGAAGATTTCGTATCTTTGATATAGAATTTGCCATTGTCAGCCCAGATCTCAGCATGGGCACGAGAGACGACTTTGCTCTTGAAGGCGAGTTTATTCGTGTTTAGAGCATTTACTGCTGCGAGACCTATTCCTGAGCGATCTGTGAAGCGGCCAATGCGGAGGGGGATGTCGTTGTCCTTGAGGTCGCGGGTTATGGGTTCGAAGCGGAGTGTGCGGCGAGAGTCGAGGTGGGGAACTAAGCGGATACGGTGGGTTTGGTTATTGTTATTGGAGAACGTTGTTGCTCTGAGGAGAGGTTGTGGAGCGGGCATTATTGGTTGATTGTTGACGGTGCCGGCTGACCGCCTGCGACGTAGAATGTTTGAGATTGGACCAAGGCTTGTGGTGTTATTTGAAGATGAGTTTATTTGAGGTACAAAACTTCGTCGCCTTATTGCTGACGGGGTTGTTGGAGAGGGTGGGGAATCTGCTGGTGATGGTTGTTGCTGCGAAGTAGAAGTTCCTCTTGGGCGTCGAAGAAAGGATCCTAAAATGGTCACTGTGGACCGTTGCGGTGCAACAACAACTGGAGAATCATGATTTGAAACAAGACCACCACCAGTTGTCGGCGTCATTGTTATCGATGTCGTGGTCGCTCCTTCCATCTTGCTCGTCGTTGAAGATGACAGTTGTTGTCAACTTGTGTTGTCGTCGCAATTTGTCGCTCAATTATTTTCCTATGCCTGATGGAGGCGCTGCGAGCGGCGCCGTAGTTCAAGGCACTTGAACATTTACGGTATCAATAAGGTCCGCTTCAACCGACACGACTCGGAGTTCACTGCTTTTAGTTAACAACCATCCTCACACCGTACTAGTACTGTCAGCAGTACTGAGCTAGTGTTATCGACCTAATCAGCATAGCTTCTTTGCCACACAGGAATCCCTTACAACATCCATTCAACTTCGACCGAGATGCCCTTTGTGAGCCGTTCAGGCCCACTCGCTTGCTCCGGTCGGTTAAGGTTTCACCGTTACGTGCCTAGATGATTTCTGTCCGATAAGTACTACCACCACCAGCGCTACCTCGCAAACAAAGAGATCCGCCCATTGTTCTCAATTCACATTCAATAACCTGTCACAAAGGCATTTGTCCGCATATGTACGATTCCAACTGATCTAATTTGTTATCGTTGCGAGTACTTTCATCTTGAGAAGTTTTCGCCTCCAAATGAATGCTGCTGTTGTCTTCTAAACTCCCAATTCCAAGCTTCACTCCTTCAGTGCTGTACCCCATGTCGGAATCCAATACCTATTACGGCTTTGGGCAGTGCCTGCTATGATATCGAGCAAAGTTAATCAAGATCACAACGTCATTACCTTTGAAGCTCACTTGATGAGATCATTGCAGTTGGAACCACTGCCCTTCGAGTTTTGCTCTTCAAAGCTTCTCTCTCCAGGTTCGCATCGTATCTTAGCTTGATGCCCGTCGTTGATCTCCCAGAAACATCAATATCATTTTTCTTTGCAGCACCATTACCTGATGTCATTTTTTCTCGACAAACGGGAGAAAAAATGCCAGGTGGTGAAGTTGCGTTTCGAACACATCGCAGGGTGGTTTGTGTCTTGGTTTTTAAGACACGGTATAGCACTGACCACGTATTTTGCCCCTCCCAGCGCAGGAGGCTCATTTAGTTTATTTCATTAAAGGTTCCCTGAGGTCGTTACACCATTTGGTCTTGAACTTGTGGCAGTACGCATATCAAGCTTTGGGCAGGCCCAATATTAGGCGTTCACCGGACTCGTAGCGTCATCGCCTGCGAGGTGTATTGTAGAGATCCCCGCAGGTGGCGTCACTCCCTTCCAAACTCACACTTCAAACTTTCACTCTCCCTACGGTACCCCCAATCTGATCGGAGCCGTAGCGTTATCACTCAGGAAGGTTCTCTTCAGAGTTACAAGACATCTTTGCAGGTGGCGGCGTTGCAGTTCAAGTATATCATAGGGTTAATCTTCACTACCATTTTCTAGGTTCGCATTACCTAGCTTGAATAACACAATACACGTGCTGACCACGTATCCTGGGGAGTCCCGCTATTCGTCTACGGTCTCCTACCGCGTCAAAGCTATTCATAAGCACCAGATTTCGGTGCTGCATAATGGATGGGAGTGCATTCAACGCCCTCACGCAATTCAGACATTCGGTGACTATCACGTTCATCACAAATTGTATCTTATCACATGAGGTGTTATGCTAGATCAGCATCGTGAAACTTCATTCTAACCGTAAGAGCGATCACCTTTGGCTCCGAGGCAACCAACTGGAAGATACAAATTGAAGTCGAAATTGATGTACATGTCGTGTAGGTATACAGTCTCAAAGTCTACAAAATCGAAGTCCTTAGCAAGTAACAAGTTGTGCACGTCTATGACTGGATGCTACATCAGATTGTCTCAAGAATGCTTTAATCAAGGTGGGAGGACGCACGGAATGGATCATATGCCAATATGCACGAACACTATGCGCTGGTCCAAGGTCATTGGAATGTCCTTGTCACAAGCCAACGAATGGACCGCTTGGTGCAGCGCCCAGGCAGCTCGTTTGGAATTCATTGGACCATCCCCGCGCAAGTTTTTGTAGAATGCCTCCACTAAGTGCTGCACGGTGCTATCCGTGACCCTCCACAATGTCCCGACGACGCTGTTGACCCCGGCAAATTGCAGGCCAGCTGCTAGGTGTATCATTTCGTCGGGCATGCTAAAGTCACCGACCGCGGTTTGACAGGCAGAAAGAAATGCGAATTCATGTTGAGACAGATCCATTTGTGTGATGTCGAGGAGCGAAAGCGGCTGATCACGCATAAGAAAGGCTGACTTGAAGGGTTCGTCAAGATCTTGTGTCCCGTGACACGCGAGATGAAACCAAGTATTGTCTCGCAATGCGCGCAGTGCTCTCGATTTCGTGGCATCGACGCTGGTTATCCTGGAGAAGGACACAGTGGGGGGAGGGGGCAAAAGTCTCTGAACCAATTCCAGCTCGGGCTCCACAGCATCCAAAGTAAACGAGGCACCGGCTGGGCGATTTTGACCAATGGCAACGAAGGGAACTGACGAAGACCTGTCATGACTTCGGCGGGCCTTGATCAGCGCGGTGAGTGATGGCGTGTATGAAGAAATATACTGCTGCGAAACGGATTTTCCCTTTGGCCTGTACTCGCCAGCAGCATGCAACGGCAAAGAATTAAAGAGAGACGTTGGACACCACCATATTCGGGAACCTCGTCGTACAAATCCGTCCAGAATCTTAACCACTGGGGAGACGACGACATCCCATAACTCTCTCAAAGCTTTTGTCAGCGCTGTCTGGTTCCCTTTAGGACTAGCCTCTTTCCTGGCCGCTTCTCGGAGTGTGACCAACAATGTGGCGAGTTTCCACAAATCGGTAGGAAGTTGGATGCTAGTCGGAGGTTGCCTGTGCGGGATGATAATGGCATGGCAAGATGACTTGCTTGCGATGAGCATGATGATGGGCCCATCACGAGCTGCATCCTGAAGATCGGAAAATAAGGGGGGAAGGAGGAAGCGAGAGAAGCCGTTGATCTTCCGGATCTCTTCTACAGTTCTATTCCACTCCTCCACTAGACGTCTGTGCTGTGTTTCCTCCGCTTCTACACCGACTCTTGGGGTTGCTTCTAGATAGTTCGCAGGAGGTTTATCGAGGAGGGAGCTAAGGTTTGTGAATTTCTTCTTCAGTGCCACTGCATGCACGCCGTGAGTCTGGAGGCCATCGAGAGGGGTACGAAGTCGCGTCATCTGGGTCCAGTTGATATTCCTGCCTTGCTCCAATAACTCAACAGCACGACAAACGTCACCACTACGAAGAGCGCACGATGCAGCATCCACGGCAAGTGCACGTGGGAAGTCCTTCATGGCCCTATGACGAGACGATACCGAAGCTGTCACAGACATATAAGCGTCGAGAAGTTGCATAGAAGTCGTGTAAGCCTCTAGTTGAGTATCATGTTTGTGTTGATCAGCGTGCTGAACCCAGAGTAAACTTGCTCGCAGGTGGGATAGCAAGCCTCCAGAGACAACATTTGCTGCTACCTTGAGGTGGTGCATGGCAGCACTCACACTGTCCGCACCTTCATCCGCGCTGATTCCATCAAGCCCTGACAGATAGACATAAGCTAGCGACTGGTGGACTGCTAATTGACGAGGATCATGTTGACTCAACAGAGCCAATGCACAGCGTAGGTTCTCTCGCGACTCGTCGAGGTCTTCTCTGTTGCCTCGGTGTTTAAAGCGGGATAAGAGTTGGGCCGCGAGGTTATTTAATGACATAGTCCGATCTGTATGACCGACCGGGCGCAAAGCCAAGGCTTCCCTGTGAAGTGCGATAGCTTGGCTCAAGTCTTGGTCATTGCCTCGGTGGTCAAAGCGAGAAGAGAGTTGAGCCGCGAGGTTATTTAATGACGAAGGCCGATCTATGCGACCAACCGGGCACAAAGCCAGCACTTCCATCTGAAGTGCGATAGCCTGATCCAAGTCTTCGTCGTTGCCTCGGTGCTTAAAGTGGGATGAGAGTTGATTCGCAAGATTATGTAGTGACATGGACCAACATGTGTGACCGACCGGATGCAAGGCCAGGGCTTCCCTATAAAGTGCGATAGCCTCATCCAAGTCTCCGACCTTGCCTCGGTGGCGAAAGCGGATAGAGAGTTGAGTTGCAAGGTTATTTAATTGCGTGGGCCATTCTATATAACTAAGCGGAAGCAAGGCCAGCGCTTCCCTGAGAAGCGCGATAGCCTGATCCAAGTCTTCATCATCCCCTTGGTGGTCAAAACGGATGGAGAGTCGAACTGCAAGGTCATTTAATGGCACGGGCCAACCTGTGTGACAGACCGGCCACAAGGCCAGCGCGTCCCTGTGAAGTGCGATAGCCTGATCCAAGTCTTCGTTGTGGCCTCGGTGGTCAAAGCGGGTGCCGAGTCGGTTCGCAAGGTTGTTTAACGACGTGGACCGATATATGTGACCAACCGGATGCAATGCCAACGCTTCCCTGTCAAGTGCGATGGCCTCATCCAAGTCTTCGTCGTTGCATCGGTGGTCAAAGCGGGTGGCGAGTTGTGCCGCGAGGTTATTTAATGACATGGACCGACGTGGGTGACCGACCGGGCGCAAGGCCAGCGCTTCCCTGTCAAGTGCGATAGCCTCATCCAAGTCTTCGTCGTTGAATCGGTAGTCAAGGCGGGTGGCGAGATGAGCGGCGAGGTTACTCAATGACATGGACCGATCTGTGTGACCAACCGGGCACAAGGCCAGCGCTTCCCTGTCAAGTGCGATGGCCTCATCCAAGTCTTCGTTGTTGCATCGGTGGTTAAAGTGGATGGCAAGTTGAACTGCGAAGTCATTTAATGATATGGACCGATCTGGGTGACCGACCGGGCACAAAGCCAGCGCCTCCCCGCCAAGTGCGATGGCCTCATCCAAGTCTTTGTCGTTGCCTCGACGCTCGAATCGAGTTTGCAGCATTGCAGCTAGATTACCTAGCAATCGCCCTCGGGAAGTATGCCCGGTGTTGTAGTATCCCAGGGCATGATAATGAAGGGATATCACTTCATCTAAGTCACGGGGTTCATCTCTCTGTGAACACCGCCATGCTTGATGTGTAAGCTGATTCGGCGATAACGGAAGCATGGATACGGGCCACTCCTGCCCAAGATTATGTACGTCAATGCTTCGAGCAGAATGCAGAGCAGATGTTTCGATTGCGATCAAAGCTACTCTGTAAATGTGGCTGTTGGCGTGACAGACATCGAGCACTTCGCTCAGTAACTCTTCAGCTGCATCAGCATCCGTTTGAAATCCACGTGTCGCGAAGCGAAAGAGCAGAGCAATGGCAACATGGAGTTGAGTGATGGGTCGGTCCGGATGATCAGTGGGACGCAAATCAAGTGCATCTTGAAATAGAGAGAGAGGAATGTCGATGTCACAATATGTTTTGTTGGCTTGACAATGAATAAACTTTGCGGTGGCCAGATTGGACAGTCCTGCAGGGCGGTAGGGATGATCTATGGGGCAGAGACTCAAGGCCCGTTCAAAGTGGTTTATGCATTGGTCCAGATCCACACTGTTCTGCGTCCTGCAGTATCGAGCGAGGAGACGATGTCCGGCATCCATCTTTAGTGCTAATGCATCCATATCGTGGGATGTAAGCTACACATTACAGGCCTCAGCATCAGAATGCCAGACTGCATCAATCACTAACGGTAGTAAGGGTACAAATAACTCCAGCATCGTTTTGATCAGAAAACTGCTGCCCCACTGTGATGAGCAGTGAAGTACAAGCGGATACGACTTCCTCCTGCTTTGGCTGAAAGATGATGGCTGTAATGCTTGTTAGCATCCGGTAGGCGTTTTTTGCAGTGGATAAAACTGACGATGTGATTTTTCGCTGCGATCCAGTAATTCTCCGACTGAGATCTCGAATGTGCGGAGGAGTTCCCCGTGACAGAGCATGGGACCGAATTTAAGTGAGGCATACACGCTGACACGAACTTTAGAAGATGGTTCACAAGGCCTAAAATCTTGCTCAATACCTGCAGAACAGACGGGGTTAACGACAACTTACAAGGAAATGCGCTCGTGCCATTCGACGAAAGTCTGGTCCACGTTTACAGATTTGTTACTTGTCTGGTGTTCAGCGCCGTCAGCCTTGACAACTACATGGAAGCTAGTGGGGATCCATCGAAGGCCAAGAGCGAGATCAGTTGCGCGAATGACTTGGGGGAAATAGTGAATACGAGCTTAGCAGAGATAGGTAAAACATACCAGTAATGACGACTCGTCGCACTCCACTGAGGTGTATCTCTCCTGGGTTCGGGGTGTGTTCTGGGTAGCTTGGCTCTTCACTAAACAATGCGCATATCGTAAAGCGTTTAGATGATCCGTGCTTTATAGGCTTACTTGTCCTTTCTTTGCCTGAAACCCCAAGATTAAGTCTAGACATGTGCCATATAACACAAACGACTTACGATCGTGAACTTTCTGAACTCTTCGTCTTGTTGTCATTACCGTTGTCTGACTTACGCTGACAATTTCTCCCTTTCAAGGGCTCGCCGGTACTGGGAGCATGTTTCTCTATTGGAGGACTTGAGGAAGTTTTGTGCGATGACGCTGAAGAAAAGTCTGATTCTGATCCTGATGAGCTTGAAGACTCGAAAGTGATATGTCGACGATGAGCCATAGTAATGATTGCTGAGGGATGGATTTAAACCAGCACTTGAGAGTAAGATGTGTGCTAGAGGTCAGGAAACACTGAAGTACCTTCAAGTCACAGTCCTGAAAGATTATAGAAAAGAAAATCACACCGTGCACATGGTATCCACACCGTACAGCGACTCAGATGGTGAGTCAACAGGACAGAAACGACTCGTAGCCGCCCATAGCCTCATTCACAATGGGCATCAACAGAGGCACGTTGTAGGGTGCGATCAGTGATTAAGAATCTACGCTTAAGAAAGGTCTCATGTTTTAGGGCACACAGAGTCCCCCAGCTCCATGCTCGGGGGTCTCGGTCACGTTTTATATTGGAGTCAAGTCGCGGAATACAAGTACAGACAGTTACAGTCAAGGACTTCGAGAATAGAGGCTTAAGAGAGACGGACGGAGAAGCGGAGGTTCGAGAGACTCGGAGAGACAGATGGTGAGTCGGGCTCGACCTGGGGATGGTGGGTGGGAAGCTTAAAAAACGCAGTTGAGCAGGTGGTGCTTTGCGAAAGCAAGAATGACGAGCCAAAATCTTAGCTCATGAGTAGATATACATTATGATAGAGGGGCCTCATGTGTAAGCCGCAGAGGCTGAGTCATGAATAAGATTTGACCGGCGTCGCGAATTGATTCAACTTGGTTAAACAAGTTAAACCGCGATGAATCAATCTACGCTTAAGAAAGGTCTCATGTTTTAGGGCACACAGAGTCCCCCAGCTCCATGCTCGGGGGTCTCGGTCACGTTTTATATTGGAGTCAAGTCGCGGAATACAAGTACAGACAGTTACAGTCAAGGACTTCGAGAATAGAGGCTTAAGAGAGACGGACGGAGAAGCGGAGGTTCGAGAGACTCGGAGAGACAGATGGTGAGTCGGGCTCGACCTGGATCCTAATGGGCTATTTTTTATTTTTTTATTTTTATTTTTATTTTTGGTAGAAGTCGATTTGAGCGAAGGCGATGCGATTGGAGTGAAGCAGATGAAGACCATGACTGATGAATGATGACCGATGCCGAAGAGAAGAGACTTGTGACGTGGGTTTAAGGCGCGCGAGCTGTGCCATGCATGAGTGCGTGCAATAAGAACGGATGCTGACGAATGTATTTGTTAAACTCGTCCGATGACCACCGTCCAGCCGCGCGAATAAGGTCTCCAGACATTCCAGCGCTCGCAAGGGCTGTTGCACCTCCTGCTCTCAATGAATGACCGCTAAATTCCTGGCTACCGAAGTCGTGCAGCTTATTCAAGAACCACCCGCGAGTAGGCACGGTACCTGCGCTCGTCACCCACAAAGCCGGGTGGTGCAAATGTTTGCGATCTCGCGCAGTAAGGTACTGCTCGACGTGTTCCACTGGGTCCACATGAGGTTCGTGTGATCTGCAGAGCAAGATCTTGTGACCCGTCCCCAGACTATCGTTCTTCTGGTAGGGTAGGACGTATGAGATGGTGTCTGCAGTCCGTGTCAGCGTGTGCCGCAATGACACCTTCCTGTAGCTCTGCAGTTTCACGGAGTCCGGCCAAGCTAACTCGCCCAAATGTTGCAAACTTTTAAACCCAGTAATTAGCATAGCGATGAACAGGGTGTTATCGTAGTCAGGTAGGAACCCAACTGCCTCAATGATACGAGTGATGTCGTGTTCCCCAATGGGGACTTTCTGACGTATTGGTTTCGATAGTCGCCGTTTGCATCCCTGCAGAGTACGCGTGACGAGAGGTGAACGTCGAGCCGCACGCACCTCAGGAAACATGAATTCGAGTTTGTTTGCGATCCCTGATAGATATGTGTCGACTGAGCGAGGTTCTATATGGTGTGAAAGCCACACCACGTAATAAGATAAAGTGTCTGGTGTAGGATCAATAAGGCGATGGTGTAATTGGCAGAAGTTGATGAAGGAATTGAGATGTGAATCGTAAGCAGCTGATGTGGAAGGTTCGATGGCTAGTCCAAGAGCGATTGAGCGTTCGAGGAACAAACGCTCCTCTGTCCAGGCAACCCTTAAGGGTTGCCTGGACCCTGCGGCTAGTGGGATCATTTTTCCACTCCCCCCAGCGCATTTCGAGGGGGTTCAAAGTCATAAATTTGCGCATTTGGCGCGAATTTGTATACACGTTCGTTCTGGAAACGTGATAAAGCATCAGCGACATTGTTGTCAATCCCACTGACGTGTTCCACTCGTAAATCGACATCGTGCGTCAGAAGTACATCCATTGCTGACATCAGGATCGTGTTATATGGAGGATGAGCGCGCAGGGAGTTGAACATGGACACGACGTTGGTGTTGTCCGTATAAATGAGCATGCGTTGTGGTGCCTCGGGCATAGTTTCAATGGCGTGAACAGCCGAACACACTGCTAAGGCTTCTGCAAAGAAAATGGTGTCCTTGGGACTATCATCCGGCAATGAACATTGACACGCGAAGTCTTCATCAGGGAACCAGAGTCCCAAACCTACTCCAGACGCGTCCGTATAGGCCACCACAACCTCCTCTGATGCTGGGCTAAAGTCAAGAGATTTATACAAGAGCAATCCAGGCGAGCGATCCACGTGATCCGCCATCCAGTGAAGCTCGTGAATGATGCTCTGATTGACGTGCAGACGTGCGAAGGGTTCTGTCTTCCCTCGGATTTTCTCGTATATGGCCGACAGCCCTGGTTTGAGCAAAGGGAACACATTAAAACTCCACTCACACCAACCTGCCAACTGTTGATATTCCCGGAGTGACCATCTAAAGCCCTTTCCTGCGAAACGACACAAGTGTGCAACCAATTCCCTCTTCTTATCTTCGGGCAGTGTAGCTGACATTGCATTCGGGTCCACGTCAAAGCCGATGACAGTCAGTGGTGAACCGAATACTTGTTTGGGACGCTCATGAGGTAACCCGATGTCGTCCCATAGCTGAAGCAAACGTGTTTGCTTCGCTGGAAAATAGCAGGCATATGGGCCATAGTAGAGTTGCCGTGATGCCAGCTCAAACGAAAAGGAATCGTCCATATATGTCTTTAGCGCCTCGATCAGGATTCGATGTATCGCAATCCAAGATACGAGGGACATAAAGGAGATCCATACCTTAGGTGAGCCACGGCCTCCAAAGTTATTATTCCGGTCAACGTGTCGTTCCCCGTTGACAGTTAGAATCTGCTTAGTCTGCCATAGTGGATGCATAGGCAGCCTACGAAAGGCTTGCGAGACATCTGATTTGAACATAACGAGTTCGTCGTTTGGATGTAACTCGCGAAAACGAAGGAGTGAGGCACCTAGCGAGTGCAAGCCGTCCAGCTTCGTGCCTTTGATTGAATCTGAATCAATCATAGAATTAAGTGAATAATCACCAGCCGTATGATCGACCACGAGGCGCAGCTTGTCTGAGTTTGGCTTTGGGACCGTGTGCATAGGTACACTATACATTCCTGGGAGTAAGTCTCGCCCGAAACTTTCTGAGACCCGTCCTAAGCGTATTTCCTCCGTGAGTTGCTTTTCTATGAAAGTTAATTGTTCTTCAGACTTGTGACAAGTGCGCATGGAATTGTCGTTAATGGATGGGTAGGTGGCATCAGGTACTCCGGCCCATGGCCAAAATCCTTCTCGTAAGGCGCGACAAACGGATAGCACGAAAGGCTGATTTGGGTGATTGGATAATAGTTGCTGAAAACGATCAACATTGATAGGGCAGATAATCTTGAACAAGTCCGGTCGGCTTGCGACTGTGTACTCGGAGTCACTCCCAACAAGACCATTGGGTGCGTCCGGTACAGGATCAGCATATTCAGTTGAACGTGCAGTCGGACTAAAACTGGAATCTAAGGGTGACCAAATGAGTCCTCGACGATGACGAGGACGTTTTAAAGGTCTCTCAATTTGACTTGGAGTTTGACTCCTCGAGGTGTTTTGCTTTAATGTGGCGCCGCCCGCAATAGTGTCCATCTTGCTCGTACGAGCAGATATGTGCGTAGCGACAGGAGCTTGCACTGCGAGTGCATTCTCCCGAATTCCACTTGCGACAAGGTTCGCGTTTGTTATTGGAAGCTGAGTTTCCAGAGATGGGTTTGGAATCATAGGGATCAGTGCGTTGTCTTCCATCGGAGTTGAAATGCGAGAAAATAAGGTCCTCGAACTCACGGAAGTCTGTGAGCTCGAGTCTCCTTGAACACCCGACCCTGTTCCTAACGGCTTTGTCGAAACGAATGACCCTTCCATGAGCTGATGCGTTGGCTTGAGAGAAGTATCTGGAGATGAAGGCGAAGTATCCATTAAGTTCAGCCTCTCGATGAGGGAAGGCGAACTTGACTGCATCAGCTGATTTGTTCCACGCTGCGTACCAATCTGAATCGGTGGCAACTTTCTTGGATGCAGTTTCTGAGACTCCGTATTTGATTTCGACTCCTCCGAGAACTTCTGTCTGTTTATCAACAGTTCGGGACGAGGAGATAATGGTATGGACGACGTCGAGGTTGATACATTCACCTGCGACGATCTCGGTCCATCCACTCTTGTGGAACTCTGGTGCGAATTTGTGATACATGAGGTATCGGCGTACTTCCTTTTGGTCTTGCGACCAGTTTTTTGAGTATCTCATTTGTTCGTTCGAGGTTAGGGGAGAGCGGTTCATATTTCCTGCTTTTAATCGCTGCCTCAATAGATGAGTAGTCAAGCTTTGAACGTTTCCGAGCAGGTTCTCCTGGCTCGACTGTCCCTGCTGTACTCCTATCCTCAGGTAAAGGGGCTTCTTCGTCGACGAATGCCGGTTCATCCGTGCATCCTCTTTGATTCTCAGCTGACGTGTTGCCAGCTCGTGTAAACTCTGCTTCGATCTCATCGAGCATGGAGATATAAGGTCCTGCAACTGTTGAGACCCGTTGTCCGGGTATGTTGAACAGTTCCTCTGAAATGGCTTCAATGACTCCAACGTTGGCATCGAGTTTGTTGATGCGTGAACGTCTGTAGTCGTCAACGTAGCCGAGACAGGACGTCGCCAAGATTTGTTGGGGTGTACGCGCTGTATTAACGTTGGTCTCAATTGTATTCCCTGATGTCGCTGGTCCTGCGGCTGTAGACGATCCAGCAGTTTCTGCCGTTTTTGACGATGTGCTGGCATTGTTGGACATGAGTGTGAATGATCAAATCAAGGATTTAATAGAAGCTTAAAAAACGCAGTTGAGCAGGTGGTGCTTTGCGAAAGCAAGAACGACGAGCCAAAATCTTAGCTCATGAGTAGATATACATTATGATAGAGGGGCCTCATGTGTAAGCCGCAGAGGCTGAGTCATGAATAAGATTTGACCGGCGTCGCGAATTGATTCAACTTGGTTAAACAAGTTAAACCGCGACAAAACGAGGAGGCTGTGCCAGGTATTCCACACTGACTTCACATCTTGCGAAGCCACACAGCTGGTACTAGTAGTGGCACTTGAACCCAACGATCCATTGCACTCACTTTCGAAAAAGACAACAACATTCATGGCCTATCTAGGTATCCTTGCTAGATCCTTGCTCCATCCCACATTCACACAGTAGTCACTACCAGTCAACCATCATTGAATAGTACTTATATTTGTGCCATGTCACGTGCCCTTGGATTGTCTGCTCTGACTCGGACGCCGGGTGGCCTCCAAAAGTAAGATTTGCATTTCTTGCTGTATCAAGCATGCACCCCTGGTATCATTGTTTGAAGACAGTGATAGAGATAACCAGTTACAGAGTTTGGCAACGTACGTTTTAGACGTAGTTGCATTGCAGTGTGTGGTGAGTACACGGTGCTGGCTTCCTTTTGTGTCCTCACTCATGTCACGGTGACGCTCTAAGTTGTCCGATCTGAGTCAACGGTTATCGGGTCCTCGAGGAGGCTCAAAGTTTTGCATCCCATTACGCGACATGTGCCAATCACCCGAGCCTTGCGTCAAACCACACCAAATTCTCGTGTCCTTCCTTTCCGGTGCACCCTCGTATATTCCGTGCTGGTGCTAATAGCTAGATCTGTTGCTGCATCAGTTGGGTAGCTGCTGACATGTCGTCTTGAATCAGATATAGTGCAACCACAGGCACCTTGGAGTGTGCGTACCGTGGAGAAATATCTATATCTTTGACTATAAGTGTGGTGAGTAGCATCGAGCTTCTGCCCATAACCTATCCCACTACTAGTTTGTATTAGCGTGTATATGATTTTCACTTCTTTGTGACTGCCACTTCACTGTTCACAGCTGAATTTCCATCCTTCCCTCAAGCCAAGTGAACTAACTCGGAAGAGTATGTGTCTGATGCCATGATGCGGCACAGTCACTTCTGCAGTCACAACTCTGTTCCATCTGCAAGTTTTTTCACTACCCATTGTAGGGTAGCATGCTTTTCTCTGACGTGAAGAATGCCAACAGGTCTCAATGAGGACATTCGCCATCATATTTTCAAAGGAGCAAGGTATTTTTCGAGCTAATATATGGGATTTCAGCATGTCGAGAAGCATAATCTATTGTATTCACTCTTGGAAAAGAGAACAGCAGTCATCGCCCATCTGGGTGATATCACTCGGATGAGCTTGTTGTGATCTGTTCCGATGGGTGGGAGTACATTCAATACCCTCGTGCAATTCAGACTCAACTATCATGCTCATCGCAAACTGTGTCTTGCCACATGAGCAGATCAGTTTGTGCAATCTCGTTCTTACCCGCAAATCGTGCACCTTAAGAACGATCACCTTTGGCACCGAGGTAACCAGCTGGAAAATACAAACTGAAGTCGAAATTGGTGTACATATCGTGTAAGTATACAGTTTCAAAGTCTGCAATATCAGTCCTTGTCGAGTAACGGATTGAGCGTGGTCATGGCTGGATGCTACATGCAAAGTCGTCAGATCGTCTCAAGAATGCTTTGATCGACAAGGTGAGGGGGACGTACGGAATTCATATGCCAATGTGCACGAACACTATGCGCTGGTCCAAGGTCATTGGAATGTCCTTGTCACAAGCCAACGACTGGACCGCTCGGTGCAGCGCCCAGGCAGCTCGTTTGGAATTCATTGGACCATCCCCGTGCATATTTTTGTAGAATGCCTCCACCAAGTGCTGCACGGTGCTATCCGTGACCTTCCACAGTGTTCCGACCACGCTGTTAACTCCGGCAAATTGCAGGGCAGCCGCTAGGTGTATCACTTCGTCAGGTGTACTAAAGGTACCGACTGCGGTTTCACAGGCAGAAAGAAATGCGAATTCATGTTGAGACAGATCCATTTGTGTGATGTCGAGGAGCGAAAGCGGCTCGTCACGCATGCGAAAGGCCGACTTAAAGGGTTCGTCAAATTCTTGTATCCCATGACACGCGAGATGAAACCAAGTATTGTCTCTCAATGCGCGCAGTGCTCTCGATTTCGTGGCATCGACACTGGTTATCTTGGAGAATGAAACAGTGGGGGGAGGGGGCAAAAGTCTTCGCACCAATTCCAGTTCGGGCTCCACAGCATCCAAAGTGAACGAGGCACCGGCTGGGCAATCCTGACCAATGGCAACGAAGGAAATTGATGGAGACCTGTCATGACTTCGGCGAGCCTTGATCAGTGCGTTGAGCGATGGCGTGTATGACGATATATATTGTTGCGAAACGGATTTTCCCTTTGACCTGTACTCGCCAGCAGCATGCAATGGCAAGAAATTGAAGACAGAGGTCGGGCACCACCATATTCGGGAACCTCGTCGTACAAATCCGTCCAGATTCTCGACCACTGGGGAGACGACGACGTCCCACAACTCTCTCAAAGCTTTTGTCAGCGCTGTCTGGTTCCCTTTGGGACTGGCCTCTTTTCCAACTGCTCTTTGGAGTGCGTCCACCAATTTGCCGAGTTTCCGGAAATCAGTAGGGAGGTGGATGCTAGTTGGAGGTTGCCTGTGCGGGATAATAATGGCGTGGCAAGACGACCTGCTTGCGACGAGCACGATGATAGGCCCATCACGAGCTGCATCCTGAAGGTCAGAAAACAAAGGGGGAAGGAGGAAGCGAGAGAAGCCGTCGATCTTCCGGATCTCTTCTACAGCTCTATTCCACTCCTCCACAAGACGTCTGTACTGGGTTTCCTCTGCTTCTACATCAACTCTTGGGGTTGCTTCTGGATTGTTCGCAGGAGGTTTGTCCAGGAGGGAGCTGAGGTCTCTGAATTTCTTCGTCAGGGCCGCTGCGTGACTGCCGCGCGTCTGGAGGTTATCAAGAGGGGTGCGGAGCCGTGTTATCTGAGTCCAGATGACAGTCCTTCCCTGTTCCAACAACTCAACAGCGCGACACACATCACCACTACGAAGAGCACACGATGCAGCATCCACAGCAAGTGTAGACAGGAAGTGCTTCATGAAATTGTGGCGAGACGAAACCGAAGCTGTGACAGACATGTAAGCGTCCAGAAGTTGCATGGAAGTCGCATATGCCTCCAGTTCGGTACCGTGTGAATATAGACTAGCATGGTGTATCCAACGTATACTTTCTCGCAGGCGTGATAGCAAGCCTCCAGAGACAACGTTTGCTGCTGCCTTGAGATGATATATGGCAGCATTAAGAGTGTCCGTATCTTCACCTGTGCCGGCGTCGTCAAGGCCTGATCGATAGAACGTCAGATAGACCTCAGCTAGCGATCGATGGGCTGATAATCGACGAGGATCATGTTGTGTCAACAGAGTCAATGCACAGCGCAGGTTCTCTCGTGACTGATCAAAGTCTTCCCTATTGCGCTGGTGCTCAAAACGGGTGGAGAGTTGAGCGGCAAGGTTATGTAATGACGTGGGCCGATTTGTGTGACCGACCGGGCACAAGGCCAGCGCTTCCCTGTGAAGTGCGATAGCCTGATCCAAGTCTTCGTCGTTGCCTTGGCGCTCAAAGCGGAGGCCGAGGTGAATCGCAAGGCCATTCAATGCCCCAAACCGATCTTTGTGACCGACCGGGCGCAAGGCCAGCGCTTCCCTCTGAAATGCGATAGCCTGCTCCAAGTCTTCGTGGTTATCTCGGCGGAGAAAGCGGATGGAGAGCTGGGCCGCGAGGTTGTTTAATGGCGTGGAACGATCTGTGTCACCGACCGGGCACAAGGCCAGCGCTCCCCTGTAAAGTGCGATGGTCTGATTCAGGTCTTCGTCGTTGCCTCGGTGGTCAAAGCGGGTGGAGAGTTGATTTGCAAGGCTGTTTAATGCCATGGACCGACCTGTGTGACCCACCGGGCATAAGGCTAGCGCTTCCCTGTCAAGTGCAATAGCTTGATCCAAGTCTTCGTCGTTGCCTTGATGCTCAAATCGGGAGGAGAGTTGAATCGCAAGGTTATTCAATGCCCCAGATCGATCTTTGTGACCGACCGGGCGCAAAGCTAGAACTTCTCTGTGTAGTGCAATAGCCTGTTCCGAGTCTTCGTCATTGCCTCGGTGCTCAAAGCGAATGGAAAGTGATTTTGCAAGGATGCTTAATGACATGGACCGATCTGTGTGATCGACCGGGCATAAGGCCAGCGCTTCCCTGTGAAGTGCGATAGCCTGATCCAAGTCTTCGTCATTACGTCGGCGCTCAAAGCGGGTGGAGAGTTGAGTTGCGAGGCCATTTAATGAGCTGGACCGATCTGTGTGGCCGACCGGGCACAACGCTAGCGCTTCCCTGTGAAGCGCGATAGCCTCATCCAAGTCTTCGTCATTGCCTCGGTGGTAAAAGCGGGTGGAGAGTCGATTTGCAAGGTTATTTAATGACTTGGACCGATCTGTATGACCGGCCAGATGTAAGGCTAGCGTTTCTCTGTAAAGTGCGATAGCCTGATCCAAGTCCTCGTCGTTGCTTCGGTGGTCAAAGCGAACAGAGAGTGCATTTGCAAGGTTGTTCAATGCCCCAGACCGATCTTTGTGACCCATTGGGCGCGAGTCCAGCGCTTCCCTCTGAAGTGCAATAGCCTGATCTAAGTCTTCGTCGCTTCCTCGGTGCTTAGAGCGGAAGGTGAGGTGAATCGCAAGGTTATTCAATGCCCCAAACCGATCTGTGTGACCGACCGGACGCAAGGCCAGCGCTTCCCTCTGAAGTGCGATAGCCTGATCCAAGTCTTCGCCGCTTCCCCGGTGTTCAAAACGGATGGAGAGTTGGGTCGCGAGGCTATTTAACGAGCTGGACCGATTTGGGTGACCAACAGGGCACAAAGCTAGCGCTTCCCTGTGAAGTGCGATAGCCTGATCCAAGTCTTCATAGTTGCCTCGATGGTCAAAGCGGGTGGAGAGTTGATTTGCGAGATTCATTAATGATGTGGACCGATCGGTGTGGCCAACGAAGTGCAAGGCCAGCGCTTCCTTGTGAAGTGCGATGGACTGATCCAAGTCGTCGACGTTGCCTCTGTGTTCAAAGCGGGTGGAGAGTTGAATCGCAAGGTTATTCAATGACTTGGACCGATCTGGGTGACCGACTGGGCACAATGCCAACATTTCCATCTGAAGCGCGATAGCCTGATCCATGTCTTTGTCGTTGCCTTGACGCCTGAAGCGAGTTTGCAGGATTATAGCCAGATTAGTTAGCAATTGTCCTCGGTAAGCATGCCCGGTGTTGTAGTATCCCAGTGCATCATAATGGAGGGATATGACTTCATCCAGGTCACGGGGTTCATCCACCTGCAAACACCGCTTTGCTCGATTAGCAAGCTGATTCAGCGATAACGGAAGCATCGATGTGGCAGGACGCTCCTGCCCGCGATCATTTGCATCAATGCTTCCAGTAGAATGCGCAGCGGATGTTTGGATCGCGATCAAAGCTGCTCTGTAAATGTGGCTGTTGGCGTGGCAGACATCGAGAACATCGCTCAGCAACTCTTTAGCTGCATCGGCATCCGTTTGAAATCCCCGTTTGGCAAAGCGAGACGACAGAGCAATGGCAAGATGGAGCTGGGTGATGATTCGATCCGGATGATCAGTGGGACGTAAATCAAGTGCGTCTTGAAAAAGAGAGATAGGGGTGTCGAGGTCGAGGTATGCTCCGTTAACCTGGCAGCTTACAAGCTTTGCAATGGCTAAATTGAACAGTGCTGCAGGGTGGTATGGATGATGCATGGGGCAGAGATACAAAGCCCGTTCAAAGTGCTTTATGGATTGGTCGAGATCTTTACTGTTCTGTGTCCTGCGGTATCGTGCGAGAAGACGATGTCCGGCGTCCGTACTTAGTGCTAACGCATCCATGCGAGATGTAAGCTGCACGTTAGAGCTCTCAGTATCAGAATGCCAGACTGCATTGATCACTCACTCTAATAAAGGGGCAAAGAACTCCGGCGTCAATTTGATCAGAAAGTCGCTGCTCCACCGTCATGGAGAGCGAAGTACAAGACGATAAGACTTCCTCCTGCTTTGGCTGAAAGACCATGGCTGTGATACTCGTTAGCATCTGTCGGGCGTTATTTGCAATAAACAATACTGACGATGCGACCTTTCGCTACGATCCAGTAATTCTCTAACAGAGACCTCGAATGTGCGGAGGAGTTCTCCGTGACAGACCATGGGACCCAATTCGAATGAGGCATACACGCTAACCCGAACTTCAGAACATGGCTCGCACGGCCTGGAGTCTGTCTGAATACCTGCAGGACAGACGGGGTTAAGAACCACTTACAGAAGAATGCGCTCGTGCCATTCGACGACAGACTGGTTTACGTATATAGATTTATTGCTTGTCTGGTATTCAGCACTGTCAGCCTTGACCACCACATGGAAGCCAGCCGGGATCCGTCGGAGACCAAGAGTGAGATCGGTTGCGCGAATGGCTTGGAAATCGTCAATATGTGCTAAACGGAGATAGATATCACAAACCAGTAATAACAACCTGTTGCACTCCACCAAGGTGTATCTCTCCCGGGTCCTGGGTGCGTTCCGGGTGGCTAGACTCTTCACCCGAGGCTGCGAGGGTATTGTCGAGTAGGTCCGATGCGGAATCTGTCATAGAAGATCATGGGTACCACGCGCTGAGTGAAAGTGGATAGCACATACTGATGGTGGCGACTTGTAGCACTTCAGTGATCACGAGGTTTGTCTTTCCCGAATCCTGGGGTTGTTCTGGTTGGCCTGGCTCCTCACCCAATGCTTGAGTGGTATCATCGAGCGGGTCTGGCGCGGAGCCTGCCGTCATACAAAATAGGAGATTAACGACGAAATAAAGTGTCGCCAGAGTTACTTTGGGTAATCATTAGTACGTGGTAAATGAAGATGGATGTGATACATACTATTGGCGACAACTTGTAGCGTTCCACTGATCGCGAATCCTCTGTCATGGGGGCGTTCTGGGCGGCTCGGGTCCTCTCCCGAGGATGGAGGGTTGTCATTGAAATGTCCAGGGACGAATTTTGACATGCGAGTAAGGGATAGATTCAAACTAACACTTGAGAATACGATGTGTGCTGGAAGCCACGAACACACTGCATCTGAGGTCCTGATGGATTATAAGTGAGGGAATCACAGCATACATGTGGCATCCACACCATGCAGCGCTAATGTCAATAGGACGTAAGTGACTCGCGGGATATCGAACGGCCCATAACCTCATTGAGTTAAAGTAGACTCATCATGTTTGTACAGCAGAGACACGTTGTAGGGTGCAATGTTGATTAAAGCCGCCGAAACGAGAAGCTGCGAGGCTGTTGAAAAGCGCAGGGCATTTCACAAGAATTCACATATTCGAAGCCGCACTAGTACTGCCTGAATCCTACTGCTGTCTGATAATATGTTGCGGGAGAAGGCACAGAACTGACAAGAAGTTATCTGACTGACATTTTGAAGTTGTTTTGCTCAAGGAGCAATGCCGCCATTAGTGCGAAGGATAAAAGCTGTTTATTGAGGCCACCGGATTAGCCCGTAATGAAAAGGCAGCTGCCTTCTAATAATAGAAATCCTGCAGACGTGCCGCATGCCATAGTTTCTGGTTTCAAAAAGATTTATAACTTTGCGATGCCAGGCCTTTCAACATTTGATACCCACGGACAAGTTAGCATCGACATTCTGCCTATAATTTATCTCACTACTACCATCCATCGCCCATTCATGTAGTACAACTCCACGCAAGTTGCTCCCCTTTCAGGCTCCGTCCCCATCAAAGTACGAGATTCCTACAGCGCTGTTACATCTCCGCCCGGTGGTGGGTGGAGTCAATACATGGCTTTATCACTGAGGTGTTCTCACCCATCATACTGGCGTCTACTTAAGCATCTACTTAAAGTTACAATCACATGGACGTACGTCTACTCCTCTTCTATGCCATTTTGCGTTCTCAACGCCACGACTCTGCTCTCATTCTGATTGTTGTTATACAGTATGAAGCAATCGTGCTTGTCCCATGGCAGACATTTAATGCCCAGTAGGTAAATTTTGTTTTCTCTTTTTCAGTCTGACTCGCATCTCCAGGGTTCCAAGGCATGGGTCTGTGGAGGACATCAGGTCAGATTAAGATGCATGTTTTATCGCACCCACGCATACGCTGTGCTTGATGATTGGTCCTTCCCGTACGGTGGTACGAAATGGTTCTGTCGTCGAGAAGTTCCAATCCTTGTGAAATACAGTGATAGACGCGATGACTGTACGTCTTGGACGTCGTTGCGTTGTGTGGGGAGTAGCACTGGCTTCCTCCTCATAACCCAACTGTCCCAACTCATGTGGCGCTTGATGTCAACGGTTATCAGGTCCGCCAAGGCTCAAAGTTTTATATCCCATTACCCGACATGCACCAACCACCCGAACCGCATCAGACCACACCCAGTTCTTGTGTCCTTTCTTTCCCATACGCCCCGTATCTTCCGCGCTGGCGCCAAGAGCAAGGTATGGATCTGTTGCTGCATTAATTGGGTAGCTGCTGACATGTCGTCTTGGACCAGATAGAGTATAACCATGCATGGAATGTGCGTGTCAATATATGCAATGACCGCCTCATAAACCCATGCAGCAATGCCCCTGAGATTGGTGCACTATTGGTGAAGTTCATTTTGGCAGCACTTGATATCGGGCATTCATCGGAGTCGTCACCTGTGAATAGCAGCTGAAACCCATCTAATAGATCTTCGCAGGTGGCCGCGCTGCGTTTTGAGTAGATCGAAGATTTCTCTTCACTCGCTCTCTAGGTTTGCGTCTTGGTTCTATGACATGTTACAGCACTGACCAGTGACCACATATTTTACCCTCCCAGCGCAAGAGACTTATTTATTAAAGATTCTCTGGGGCTCATCAGACCATTTGGACTTGCACATGTCGCAGGCCCAACATCGGGAGTTCGGCGGAGTCGCGGCATCATCACATGCGAGGTGCTTCCTAGAAATTCTCGCTAGCGTCACTCTCTTTCAAACTCACACTTCAAACCTTCACTCTCCCTCCGGTACCCCTAATCTGATCGGACTTGTGGTGTGATCTCTTCAGAATCCAAAAGATCTTCGCAGGTGGTGGCATTGCGGTTCGAGTATATTGTAGGGTTGATCTTCACTAGCATTCTCTAGGTTTGCATTGCCTAGTTTGAACAACACAGCACACGTGCTGACCACATATCCTAGACAGTCCTGCTATCCATTTCACCCCTTCCAGCGCAGGAGAAAGACAACATCACTACCACAGCCAAATGGCCATCAGTTCGCTGCACATCTATGCGGTACCTCCAATATCAGATGTTGTCCAACAGCACCCAGTTGGGCAACATCTGAGCGTGTAGTTGCATTGAAGCAACATCACCAGTGAACTATCTACATAAGCAATGGTCTGACTGCGGGAGCGACGTATCGGCGGAGGTGGTCGTGAGCACTGAGGATCGACCCTTCTGAAGCATGCGCGTGATGATTGGCTCCAGCTTGATTCACTGCGGAACGGGAGAATAATTTTACCCTAAGATCGATTTTCCAGATATAACCCAACATGAGTAGTGACGAAGTATCTTTTCTGGACTCAAATTCGACCTGGCGAAATTTTTCACGTTATAGACCTGTGAGATCAATTACATAAATCGTACGTTAGTTAGAGCAAACACGTATCAGACTAAATACTAACGCCCGACTCCATTGTTACAGTGTGTTGCATATGAGATTGCAGTACGTGTTTTTCAAAACTCGGCCTCACTAACGGAACCGGCACTTTTGCACCCTAATTAGGTCAAGGGATGTCACGTCTTGTATACTGGCTAGAGTGATATGTCACATCCCTTGACCTAATTAGGGTGTAAAAGTGCCGGCTCCGCTAGTGAGGCCGAGTTTTGAAAAACACGTACTGCAATCTCATATGCAACACACTGTATATATTGCTGTAGGAATCGAATCCATGCAGGCGCACGTAATGATTCAATTAATTCATAATTGCCAGCAGGCATGGACAATTTTCTTCCTCGTCGCCACAGAACGTTCGCTCGAACCCCCGGTATCTCATATATCTCCCTTATCGCTCGATGCTTTGAACCTGCAGTGACCCTGCGCAGAGACGAAGTTGAGAAGTTGATGTTCATTCTCACACAGATATCCATGAGCTAGCCTCCAAAGTTAGGCGGACAGATTCAAGAATGTTTGCGCAGTGTGTTCCATCTTCGCGAGAAGCGCAAAAATTTGTCAAAAAACAAACGTACTGATCGACTCCGAACTAGGTATTGCGCCATCAACGTTGCATCAACCACGATACCAAAGCGAAAGGAGAAACATGACTCGCTGTCGCTCCGGTTTCTGGCTCAATTTGGAGCATATGTGCTGGACAACAATGCATTCTAATATGCACAGGTGAGTAAACGTGGTCGAACCCTGGTTGCATGGCGACCTGCTCATACTACTTACTTTGTCAGGCTCACACATTCCTTACCCGAGCCATGGTTCAGGCCAGGGCCGGGCAAAAGCCATCTGGTGCCAGGCCAAAGCCGTGGCTTTTATGCCAAGCAGGGCCAGAACATCACCAATTGAGGACATTGGTCTTGATGTGGCGGCGATGAATCGTTGAGGCAGACCATTAGCTTTTGCCGCGTCTACCATTTGATTCCGAGTTGCACAACTCTATGAGTTTTTGGCGGTTTTCAAACTTGTGTAAGTCGATCAGGAACTCGTCTTTGCTCTATAAACTCATGCATGACCATGTAATAACCCGTAGCAGAATTATACTGGTGCTCGTGATTAATCTCTATACAAGGTGATATATGTCCTTCTCAGTTTTTCCTCAGTTCACTGATGCGTTGTGTTCTGCCGATAGATCAGTCGATCACCGGACACAGAGAATCACTCACTAGTGGCGCATAAACTGCACATCACGATAGAATGCGCCGTCAGTATTTCCAAAAGCATACAATAGTCCGAGCCAAAGGCCAGCAAGATCAGCATAAGTATAAAGGCTGACACGTTTCACAGCCCTTGTCTCATAACTCGGGTCTCTGATTTTTCCGAGTATTCACTCATCTCGACGTTCACGACACGAGTCCGACAACCTCCATGACTTCTACCGTAACACACACCATCAAATGTTCTGACTCCGAGTCCACAGAGTTCATTTTACCTGACTTCTTCAGCAATTGCCGCTATCCCATGCGATTAAACCCTCACCATGATCAAGTATCTTATGCTTCTGATCAATGGGCTCGTAGCGAAGCCAATCTACCAGAATCCAAGGCTCTCAAATATTCTACGTTATTGCGCCCAGCTTACTTCGCTTCATCTTGTTACCCTGATGCAGATGCTTTCCATCTCAGGGTCTGTGCGGACTTCCTGGGCTGGACATTCATAATAGACGACTGGCTCGAGCTCGATAAGTTTGAAGTTAATGATGCGTTGGAGATCCGTGACTGCTGCATGTCTGCGTTCCGTGATCCTGTCAACTTCCAGACGGAAAATCATATTGCAAAGTTGTGCAAATCGTGTGTCTATCTTTGACCGTCGCGCACACATTCTAACCATTGTGCGCTTTTTAGATTCTTCAGCCGGTTTAAGGAGACTGCCGGCCCTGGCTGTACAGAGCGCTTTATCCAGAGAATGGAGTTATGGTACACCTCTGCGGCAAAGGAGATGGACAGCCGCACCAAGGGATATGTCTATGATGTTGAATCCTACATCGAATTGAGGCGCGACTTGAGCGGCTGCAAGCCTTGCTTTGCCTTTATAGAATTCGCCTGTCAGATTGATCTTCCCGACGAAGTAATCTCGCATCCGGTCATCACAGCCCTGGAGGAGGCTGCCAATGACTTTGTTGCTTGGTCGAATGTAATACCTCATTCCGTCGTCGAAGTTGGGGCACTACTGATATCACTGCTGACAGGATATATTCTCCTATGATATGGAGCAATCTAACCATAGCACACGTAATTTAGTTCATATCCTCATGGTCAAACAAGGTCTCGACCTGCAAGGCGCTGTTGACTACTGCGGCCGGCTATGCAATATCTGCGTCCAAAACTTTGAAGAACACCGTGCTATCCTCCCCTCGTGGGGAGAAGAAGTTGACAAGGATGTAGCTATCTACGTCCAAGGACTGCAGAACTGGATTGCCGGTTCGGTTCAGTGGTCCTTCGAGTCCGCCCGCTATTTCGGGAAGGATGGGCATGTTGTCAAGCGGAACAGAGTCGTCAAGCTGTCTCCCAAGCGACCACTATGAAATCCACAGCTATTGCTCTATGTAAGGCTGTTTTCCCTTCTTGCTCGCATTTCATGATTCTCATTGCGATGGCTACCAGTATAGAAAGTTTCATCATTATCTGTGTCTTGCTATGTGTTAAGCTGCTTTTTTATTACTGAATGCGCATCATATTTCGCCTTCCTTCCTACTCAGAACGTTTTTGACTTTTGCTGCTGTGTGTATGATAGCACTAGTACTGTCGGACCAGAATGGAAGGAATACTATCTATGTAGAACGTACATCAGCCTCGCCAGCCCTCGGATTACGTCGCTTGGATAACCATCATAGATATCAATTCACTCTAGATGTCGGACCAACCCACCTTTTAGATCGAAACAATGACATTGGCAGTCTAACGTGTACATGCCGGTTGAAGCTATATGTGGTATTATGTGTTTGAATGCTGGCACAGATATCGGGTCCTTGATCCCATGTTCGAGTTATATGCGTACGGGAGACAGACTACGTTGAAGTAGGAGTTCCAGGAGACTGCACATGATTCGGGGTCTCCACGGTCCAAACACTAGTCAACACGTAAACTAGGTTTCACTGTGCTCGTGTTAAGTTTGTATCATGATCACAGCTTGTCTGCATTGCTCTGGCTCTGGCCCCTGGCCCCTGCTCCAACGTGTAAAATTTTTAGTCCGCCAAAGACTTCTTTGATCTGACGGACTCACTCTCACAGAATAGAAGCTTACTGAAACATGATATCATCAGGATCAGCCTGTACAATTAGAAATAAGGCTTCTAGCGTGTCACAGGCTTATTGACAGGCTTATTGTCTCCCGTGTGCAATTTCTCTTTCGATTTGAGGATGGTGTCGTATAGGTATTCAACCACGAATCATCAATCATGATGTATCTGGCAATGCAATACATCACCATCACATCAAGCGCATGATGCATTGAATATAGTGCGTTTTGGATTAGATTCGCTTCAACCTTGTCATATCTTTGTTCATCTTTTTGATATAATCATGATGGCCCAATATTTTAAGCGTATGAGGCGGCGGATAAGGTGAGATACAGTTGCTCCACTTCGACTTACTCTGTATCACTGTTTCTTGTCTGACTTCTCTGGTGCTATGCCGCAGAATGGCCCTTTTCCCGTAAGAGTCATCGGAGGGCAGTTACGCCTCGGGCTCGGCCTTGCTGGCTGAAAAGGGTGTACATGCGTGTTTCGATCACATCATGTTTAAACCTGTGTTAGATCGATGCCTACATGATTTCATAAAGAGCTTCTCGACTTTTGCAAGCTTGCAGCAAAAATACCCAAAAAATGGCATTGGAAAGAAGTTGCCGACATCACCAACGACTGGAACTTTCCTGGTGTCCGAGTAGTGGCAAATCAAATTATATTTTGGATATCGAGGGGCTTCCTCTTTTATTTTATTTTGCACCGCAATACTCACTTCGCCTGTGATATAGGTTTCTTCTTTCCCATGTGCAACTTCCTCTTCGACCTTGGGATGTGGCATATAAGTATCTAACAAATATCAATCATGAATCAGGATGTATCTGCCTGTGAAATATATCACCATCACACAAGTGTACAATGTATTAAATATGGTGCGCTTTGTATTGGATTCGTTCTATGCTTACATTCTCTTTGTTCATCGTTTTTGATATAATCATAATAGCTCAATGACCCAAGTGTACGAGGTGCTATGCCGTAGAATGGCTCTTGTTCCATAAGAGTAATCGGAGGGCTGTTGCGCCTCAGGCTTGGCCGGTGAAGCCAAAGAAAGTGCTCGTACTTGCTAGCTTCGATCACATCATGCTTTGACCTGTGTTAAATCGCTGACTACATGACTTATAAGGAACTCCTTCATTTTTCAAAGCTTGCAGCAGAAACATCTCAAAAATCACATTAGAGTCGTCGACATCACCGATGACTGGAACTTGTTCAAGTAGTCACGTGCGTAACACTGGTTCGGAAATAAAAATTTACTTTGATTCGAATCATTCGATCAAGGGATTCCACGTGCTTTTTGCTCGAGTTTGCACTCAAGCTGTTTGGTCTTGAGGCGGGATCAAATGTACATCTCCATTATACTGATTTGGGCGATAGAAATGCTGAGCGGTGGTATATCTATATCTAGCACGAATGCTGTCGTTATACATCACTAACCTTCCCCATTCGCTCACACCCATCCCTCGAACATGACCTACGTCTCAAATGATCCCAGTAACTGGCCGTATATCAGTGCAATTATGTTTTTAAATTATTGGAACGGTTCGTCGCATCATGATGTCTTAGATCTAACATTGACATGCAGTTTCGCAGTTGCCGCAGGCGTCGTGGTGGTATATAATTGGAGTGAGCAGGACAGTGTTCGAAAATCGCTGATGTTCTCATGATATTTCCAGTCTTAACACTCGGACAAGAGGTACGTCGATGTTATCGCCAGAGCAGCTATCTCACTGAGAATGGTGTCTTAGATTGAACTCATCTGGGTGAGTGACAAGGGTCCCGTATCAGAAGAAAACAAGAGAATGCAATGAATTCGCGACAGAGACAACCCTGGTCTCTCATGACCATGCTGTATTTGATTGTTCGTACCTCATGTTGTGCTTTAGCGTGGCGGGCAACTTGTGCTGAATCCAAAATGTTCTAGATACGCTATATTGGAATACCGTATTCTGTGTGTGTGTCGAGATCAACAACTTTGCACTGTAATAATAGCTCATCTCTTACAACTAGTGTCCATCTTCTGGGTATGTCTCATATGCGCCGCCAGTGTTCCATTTTTCTGACCAGCGGGACACAGAATTTTCCATCAGTATCGCTGACAGATGCAGTAAGTATTCTGCAACCATCTCGTTCCCATCCAATCAATACGTTCACATGTAGGGGTGAGTGATATTCCAACCATTGAGCGTGGCTCAATATAATGACTCAATAGGTGTGAGTCGGAGTCTTTGATACTAGTGCGAGGGCGTTCACTAATTGCGAGTTTTAGGCGCTATCACGTACTACGGAGTGAATGGCACAAATGCGGCCTCGACTGCCATGTTGGGCGGTAAGTTGCCCAGGTGCAATACCACTGTGATATTGACCTGACTGACGCACGATGCAAGTCATCATGATTTCTCGGTTGTATGCCATGTATCAGGGATCTAGAATGATGCTTATGTTCCTTGTTATTATCTTCCTGGCTGTAAACATCGCCTACGGAGTAATCGCAGCAATAGCACTCAAAGATGCTGTACTGGGTAAGCTTTACTTGTTGACTTGAAGAACACGACTGATTGGACAAACACCAGAGGAGTCGATACTTTCTGGCATATATATGTGCGGTTATGTATTTGAAGGGGACGAGCAGCTTCTTATATCGATGGTTTGGATGCTCAACGCTGTTTGGGAGGTCCTCGTACTGTGCCTTTCAGTCTGGGTTGCTATAAAACACTTCCGTGAGCTGCGACGACTCGGCCCATCGACAGGATCAACCATCGGGGACTGTTTCAGAGTGCTCATACAATCTCATGTTCTCTATTTTGCAAGGTGAGCTTGTGATATGAACGCGGTTATATTTTCTGCTCAAGTTCCGCACATGTTAGCTTTGTGGGCGTCTCTTGCTTCCTGCTTGTTCATATCTCTCCAGAAATCTGGGTGCGCTGACCTGTTGCTGATATCTGCATGTAACCACTGCTCATCATTTCTGTAGAATTCAGATTCTATTGGAACTCAGATACTCAATGGTACTCTTCAAATTTTATTGGTCGTGCAGACGTTTGTGCTGGGACCACGCCTCATCCTGAGCGTTCGAGAATACCACGCCAAACTCGTGGAACACACTGGCACAGAAACTAGCATGAATTCGATTGTTTTCCAGGAGCGTGTACATGTATCAACTAGCAGTACTGTGTAGGGAAATGCTTGCCGAGTGGTCTGCAGGGAGGAGAAATTTGGTGCAGGATCCGTCGTGGTATTTATTTAACGTATGGTGTTTCGAAGTACATTTGAAAGGTCTAGGCAAAGCTATTTCTTGTTGTATCACTACTGGAACGCAATACCCGCGCTTGAACCAAGTGGTAAGCTGAAATTATCCGAAACCAACCTGGTCCTTGATGACTGATGTTAAAAGACAACAAGAATCAGTTCAAGTGCCTTGACAGCTGATTCCGATTCTGCGCGTTGGTGGTCTACTGTCTGAACATATAGATACTGCGAATTGCGAAGCCAGATAGCTGATAATTCATTAGTGCTCAGATGCAATTTCCTCTATCTGATGGGCCAAGGAAAATGAAAGGAATGAATCGCGTAGACTCATGGCTGGACTGCACGTCTCTCGCGAATGAGCATGACAAGAATATGGGGTCTGCTGGGTGTGGAGTGGAGAATCAGGAAATTTTGTCAGAGAACCTCAAGCGTACGTACCTATCAAAACTACTGATGAGGCATCAATGCATCAACTACCAGCGATATTCTGTTGGAACCATCGTTAGGCACGACCCATCAGAGTAAAGCACCGAACGAGATATAGACATGGATCACAGTTCTAGGGCAAGCGAATGATCACTTGAACGAAGTATCTGATAGATTGTGGGAAACGGGGAAATTCGAAGATATTTGTTCGAGCGAATTGGGAACAAGGCATGCCTGGGAGACTCTGCATGGACCTCCTCGCTGATGCAACTCCAAAACATGCTCCCAGTCCAGTTTCTGTCGCAGAGGACCCGCCCTCGTAGCACGCTCCCAAGAACCCCCATCATTATGGCACTCCCCATATTTGATAAAACTCCCAGAACACCCTCATCAGCAGTTTGCGCGTGTGAATGGATGAAGAGGACGGACTGAGGAAACGGTATAACGAAGCTACTCAGTGGGCACTCACTGGAGAGCCCTTACTGAGTGATGGTGCTCTCTGGACGATTGACGGGGGAAAAGCCAAGGCTGTTCATGGACCGAAGAAGGATATGAAGCTTGTCGTCGACTTTAACCATCGTCAAAATCACGCTTTTCCGATGTGGCGTAGAACAGGTCGTATTGAACGGGCGCAGCTTACTGCATATGGAGCATTTCAGAACTAAGGAGGATGCTAAACTAGCTGAACACATCGAAGACGAAGGATAATCCGTTCTCAAATTCAACCCTGCAGCATGGTTCGAAAGTGACACCCAAGACGCCTTCTGGGACGAAACCTTCTCCACATGGACAGACACAAAACCCAAAGGTACGTCCCACACTCATTATTAACACTGAGACTACGACACTCAGCGCCCACAGGCCCCGAATCTCTATCCCTCGACATAACCTTCCCTAACCACGCCCACGTCTACTACGGAATCCCAAACACGCCACGGACCTCTCCCTCCCAAGCACAACAGGCCCCACCTCAAGATACACAGGCCCCTTCCATCTCTACAACGCAGACATATTTGGATACCCCTTGGATTCGCCGACTTCTCTCTACGGCTCGATCTCGCTCATGGATGCGCATTCTGCAACGCCGACGGTGGCTATTTTCAATGCCATTGCTTCGGAAACATGGATCGAATTGGAGTGAGCTACCATGCTCATATTGTTGAGATCGTCTGTGCTTTGCGTTGCCGATGTTGATCGCTTTCATGTGTTGATCGATCGTGCAAGGCTGTTTCGGAACGATATCTTGAGGCATACGACATCTACTTTTTGGACGACAAAGTACGGTTTGTCTTTACAAGATTCCTACAGCGCTGTTACATTCCCGCGCGGTGGTGCCATACATGGCTTCATGAGTCACTGAGACGTTCTCAACCCATCATGCTGGCATCTACTTAAGCATCTACTTCAAGTTACATGACCGTACGTCTACTCGTCTTCTATGCCCAACGCCACGATTCTGCTCTCATTCTTATTTTTGTTCTGCACTACGGAGGAATCGTGCTCGCCCCATGGTAGACATTTGTAATACCCTGTAGGTAAATTTTGTTTTCTCTTTTCAGTCTACTCGCATCTTCAGGGCTCTAAGGCATTGGTCTGCGGAAGATATCAGGTTCAAATCGCACCACGCATACGCTGTACTTGATGATTGGTACTTCTTGTGTGGTGGAATGTGCTATGGTTCCGTCAACGAGAAGTTCCAACCCTTGACACAGAGCGATAGACGGCCAGTGGATTTTTATATTGGCGAGGACCGTACGTTTTGGACGTCGTGGTGAGTATCACTGGCTTCCTTCTTATAAACCAACTGTCCAAACTGATGTTGCGCTTCGAAGTTGTCTGATGTCGGGTCCGTGAGACTCAGTCTTACATTCCATTATGCAACATGCACCAATCACCCGAACTACGTCAGACCATACCCAATTCTCGTTCCAACATCGTCTCTGCATGGAGACAATCTCTTTTCGGTTCGGAAATGACTGAAACAGCTCAAGGCCACGAGACTTGCGATCTGAAGCTTTCCACCCCCTTCCCTAACCATAAACTACCCTGCCGGTGGGTCACGGTTACTGAATACAGCTGAGCGGTCATCGGACGCGGTTTCAGTCATGCGACGGAACCTATATTCCCACTAGGTATATAGGTTCAGTGGTATTATCCTAAACAAAACGAGAAGGTCGGCGCAATTGGGGTAGTGGTAGCCCCTCGATGAGAACTTTCACAGGCTCGAAACCGCTGCCATCCCCACCATCCTACGTTCCTCTTACCCTAGCTAACAGACACTCTTATCCTAGGAGACGGGTGACTGCAGTAGGTGCTAAGAACGTTCTACCTCGCGACACTCTGCTGGACGCTCTGGGTTGGGCTTTGCTCATCCAAGCCGGTCGCTATGTCCTTCCTTTCCCATGCACCCTGTATCTTTCGCGCTAGCACCAATAGCAAGGTATGCATCTGTTGCTGTATCAATTGGGTAGCTGCTGACATGTCGTCTTGGACCAGAGAGAGTATAACTATGCACGTACCGTGGACAAATGGCCATATCTTCAGCTACAAGTGTGGTGAGTAGCATCGGGCTTTTGCCCATAAACCATTTCACTACTAGTTTGTGTCAACGTGGGGATGATTTTCACTTCTTCGTGACCGCCACTTCACTATTCACAGCTGAATTTACATTTTTTCTCGAGTCAGGTGAACTGTCGGGTAGCATACTTTGCTGTGACGTGAAGAACGCCGACGGGTTTCAATGAGGACATTTCGCCATCGTATTTTTTTACAAGGGAGCAAGGTGTTTTTCGAGCCAATATATGTCCAAAGCTACACTCGAAAGTCGTAGAGTTGCTCTAGACATTAGAATTTAGTAATGTGGATATCTACCTTATCGCCACCTGGGTCGACAATCTCATCTTGACATCTTATCATCAGGCGACGATGTAGTCCGAGGTAGTCCAAGAACCGCAGATGCTGGCGGAGGGGAAATTGGCAAGGCACAGGCCAACCTTGTCCAATAGTTTGTAACTTTTTTTGGCAAGCTCAAAAGAAGGCACAAGCTGGCACATCATACTAGTGGCTTCTAGGATATCTAATACTCCGCCTCCGGATCGAGAGAAAAACGCGATAAATAGTACTAGCAGCAGAATTACTCGTTTCTGAGAACTTTAAATCTGACTCACCCTCCTGTAGCTTATTCATAGCGTTTCGAATACTCTTTCCTCCAGTCGTAGAGGCGAAAAGCCTCGCTTCCACACCTTTGGGCATACATTATATGATATAGCACATGCATAATTCAGAACAATAAGAGTGAGAGCGGAAGATTGATAATGGTACGGGAAAATGACATGGAAGAAAAGACTCATTCTAAGACATCAGCGTCATGCACATGAATCAGTGCTTCTCAGTGATTGCGCCATTCCGCCACCATCAGAAGGAAAGCACTAATCAACCTTGTACAAGCAAGGTCTTTCGCCTCTACGACTGGAGGAAAGAGTATTCGATCGAAACGCTATGAATAAGCTACAGGAGGGTGAGTCAGATTTAAAGTTCTCAGAAACGAGCAATTCTGCTACTAGTACTATTTATCGCGTTTTTCTCTCGATCCGGAGGCGGAGTATTAGATATCCTAGAAGCTACTAGTATGATGTACCAGCTTGTGCATCTGCGGTTCTTGGACTACCTCAAACTACACCATCGCCTGATGATAAGATGCCAAGATGAGATTGTCGACCCTTGTACTCGGGCATGGATGCTTATCACCGAGACAACTACAGCGTCTCTCCCCATGGACATTACGAAACCTTTACCCGAGATCTAGCATCATGGGGCGCTGACGGTATGCCAAACATGCTGGGGAACTGTGTTATCAGTTCAACGCATGTCGACAGAGGAAACGAGTAACTTTGTATGAAATACCCGAGTTTGGAGTTCCCACGACATCACTGATCTAATTCTTTTCGTAAGGGTTTATCATGTACTAGTACTCGTGACACGGAAGCGGGCGCCAGCCATACCTGGCGCTACGCTTTGTTTGCTGTTTTGCGATATGAAGACTCAATGTGAGTCATAAACTTTCTCACTACTTGGCTCCTTATCGTAGCACTGGCAGGTGAGGAGTCCTTAATATCAATACTATGGATGCGGAAAAAATACAGCCGCAGCTTACGAATTCAAAGTTTACTAGCTCATGCATTTATGAAATCAACACTATAGAGCCCTCGAACAATTAAGTATATGCTGTTGCGCTCTTTCAAGTGCTTTACTAGCATGTGGCGTTGAGTACAAATCGGCCCCGAGGGAGAGTACTCTAGTTCTGTAAGTAATTATAATTGACTCTTTCATGTGATCAAAATGCTGACATCTCCTGCATGATCCATATCGCAAGATGTACCATATCAGATTGGTCGCCAATCATTGCATGCACGCATTGGTTAACGTCAACCCTACCTCGAGTATCAATCATCCTGCGGCACCTGCGCTTCTTTGTGCCTGGAGAAATTTAGTGCTGCTTCCCAACTTCTTTCCGTGATGTCTGAGACGCCCGAATATAACATATGGGCGAGGCTCTCATTTGTATCAGTCATGGCGCTCAGACATTCAGTGCTGATCGGATCAAGGGTGTGATGCCAGAAGTTTAATTCCGTTCTATGGGTATTTGCGAACTGCGCAACATATGTATTAACTATTCTACAGCCAGCGCGAGCCGCTCAATCGACTTTTTTCCGCAGCTGATAACCCAATGTTAACAAATAATATATATATTGACAATTAAAATGGAGTATTTCTGACGAGGGGGCAATGCTCTGGGGCGCCTGGATGAGGCCTAGGCACCGGCGGAACAGTTGCAGTTACTATGCCTGTACATGTAGCCTTCATACATCACACATATATACTTGTTCTGACTCGAAGCTGGCCGAAATTAAGGTTATTTGATGATACCTTAAAATGGTATTGTTTGTGGAAAAACTACGAAAACGCGCGAAACTTGAGCTCACTGTTGTCCACAACCAGCACGAATTTCATAAAAGTACATCTGCGACAAATTTACAAGCATACTTGGGGTATACTATCGGACTTCCATGGTAACGTGAACTATTGTCCACCACTTGTTAAACAGCTACAGCATCAAATCGCACAAAACCCAGGTGACAAAGAAACAGGATAGGTCATATATGAAAGTGAACCAGGTGACTCAGGAGATCATCAGGCATATCCGAACGATTCGACATATAGGGTTACACTCGGTCCTCCACTGAGAATACTGGAAGGTCCAGAGACAGGGAAGCGAAGTGAATGACGGACTGCGCGCGATATGCTCTGAGATCCGCAAACTAATGTAATACCCGTAAGTTGCCATCGGAGGCCGGTGGAATTAGTACTTACCGCTGACCGACATACTCCCCGAGGCCATGCTGACTTCTTCTTTGAGCAGTCCATCCAGATCCGATCGTCCACTTTCCATTTTGACCCCGTGTAAAGAGAATAGCATTGACGACGTTGAAGAAGTTTTCCTTGTCACAACTTGTTCAGGAATACCGTTCTTCTCTGTAGGAGTTGAAGGGCTGCAATTCTCTTCCATAGATTGTACCTTTGATAAAGAACTGGTGTCAAAGATACGGATGGATACTGTCAAAGAAGGCGGGGCAAGCTGAACAGCCTTGATAAGTGCTTCTTCAATCCATTGGACATGGCCTATAAAATATGACGTTAGTAGAAGCTATGGATGAATCATGAATCTACGCACCAACTCCGCGTATTGACCAAATGAACACAACTCGTTTGCAGGAGCTTTTCCCCTTGCGTACGCTCCTGCGAGAACAATGAGACATCGATGACAGTAAGTGAAATTAATCCCCGTACTCAATAACGCTCAGGAAGACCGGAAGGGTATATGATATACCAGACCCTCCTGAATTTGATAAGTACTGCGTGATTACGAAACGATACACAACTCACCTGCCACAAATACGCACGTGTCGTAAGAACCCAGGTCAGCAGACGGTCCGTAAGGACCGTCTACAAAAACCTTAACTATGCCCTTCGTGGCAGCTACCTCCTTTAGCTTTTTCGTAAACCCTCCATGTACGTTGACCAAAAACACGAGCTCTTTCCAGAACGGAGCGCTTGATCCCAAAACCTGGGTTTCATCATTTT